CAATACGTAATACGATTGTTGTTTAAATTTGTGGTTATTAAAAATTAAATAATAATATGTTTAAGTATGAATATATTTTGTGTTGAACTGTACTTGAGGTGGAAAGGCAGAACAACAATCAAAAAGTGAATTCCGATTATCCACCCCATCTAGGGTGGATAAACGAACACGCATTTCCCATTAACCACCCTAGGGTGGATTTCTTAGGGTGGATAAACTGAATAACCCATTTGGACATTTTGTGCTGTCACTTCTTCAATCAATATCCATGCTTCATATCATATGGATAGATCCTAAGTTTTAATCAGTTTGTATAATTTAAATAAAATGCCGACCACAAGCAAATAACCCACCTAACAGTGAGTGAGGGGCTGCTTCAATTAACCTCCAAAAGAAGGCTAGAGAGGAGTTGTCACCTCTAAAGACTAAGATGGAAAGCCTCATAGCCTATTACTAATTATAATTATGTACTAGCTCTACAAAGATGGACGACTCGTTAGCATAAAAAAGCATACAAACTTAAAAACACATCAACTATAGTCAACCATCTAAGAAATACCTTATGACGTTTCACATTAATCATTCAGCAATAACTTTGTATAAGCGTACTTACACGATTTAAAATAACCTTTTACGTAAATCGGAAGAATTATAAAGTTATCTATATTTCATTATAACGTGTACAGTTTTGATCACTAAATAAAATTAGAATCTTTCAAACAAATGAAAATATTAAAATAATTAACCAGTATCAACTTTTTAACTTGACGTCATTTCAATGATATGTCGCTATGTACCTCACCGTAGTGTTTGGATGATTAAAATTCATTGTTATGCGAATATTCGGCAAAATATTCAAATAATCGGTAAAAACATTCAAATAATCGAATCATTAATTTTTTAATGTATTTGTTTAATTAAATTTTTATTCTTAAAATTTCTTAAATTACGTGAATCATGAATAAAACAAGTTTTTTTTTTTTACTTTTTTAACGTAAATTTGTGAAGGCAAAAAAGTCATATACGAGGCCACGCTCAAAAAACCACTACCTACGTATTTTCAATCTCCCGCCATTTCGGGAGCTTACTGTGCGTAATTTTGTGACTTTGTGTTTGCCTTCTTATTTCATGACTCGGCTTTAACTTTTTGGACTGTTACTTCTATATTTGTTGAAGCATATACTCATGTCACAAAGGATGATCAAAAGTGGAAGAAAAAACAAAAACATTGATTATGGATGACTTTGAAAGAGACATTAATTTTGTCTGCATTATTGAAAATCAAATAATAATTAATTTAAGCAACGTCAACTCAACTAGTTGTACTGAAAGTGATTGAATAAATTTATTTTTAATCTAGTTTTAATCTTAAATTTTTATAACTTTGCCTCTAGGAATAAGCAATAACAACAAATACGAAGAAACTGTAAATGATTCATCATCATCATCATTACAGCCCTTCACAAGTCCACTGCTGAACATAGACCTCCCCCAAGTAATGCCACAAAGCACGGTCCTGAGCCACCTGCATCCATCGACTTCCTGCATATCTTACCAGGTCGTCACTCCATCTAGTGGGGGGTCGCCCTACACTACGCCTACCGGTACGAGGCTGCCACTCGAGAACCTTTCTTCCCATCGGTTATCGGTTCTTCGAGCCATATGGCTGGCCCATTGCCACTTCAGCTTACTAATCCGTTGGGCTATGTCGGTCACTCTGGTTCTACTGCGGATATCCTCATTTCTGAGTCTATCACGCAGAGAAACTCCGAGCATAGCCCTCTCCATAGCTCGCTGAGCGACCTTGAGCGTCCTCATACGGCCAGCAGTGAAGGACCACGTCTCTGATCCGTAAGTCATCACTGGCAACACGCACTGGTTGTACACTTTAGTTTTCAGAGATTGAGGTATACCTGACGAGAAGATGTGTCGTAATTTCCCGAACGCTGCCCAGCCGAGTTGAATCCGTCGATTGACCTCTCGGTCGAAGTTGGACTTACCTAGTCGGACTATTTGTCCCAGGTAAACGTACTCGTCAACAACTTCGAGCATAGTGCTCCCCACAACTACCGGCATAGGTGTGACATGGACATTGAACATAATCTTTGTTTTGTCCATGTTCATCTTAAGACCTATCCGTTGGGAGACACCATTGAGGTCATTGAGCATAGTGCTAAGGTCCTCCAGCGATTCTGCCATAAGGACTATATCGTCGGCAAATCGAAGGTGAGTGATGTACTCGCCATTGATGTTAATACCGTATCCTTTCCAGTCCAGTAGCTTGAAAACGTCTTCCAAAGCAGCGGTGAAGAGTTTCGGGGATATAACGTCACCCTGTCTTACACCTCTCTGCAGTTGGATAGGTTTCGAGCTCAGGTTCTGTACTCGGATAGCCATCGTAGCCCTACTGTACAAACACTTCAGCACTTCGATATACCGACAGTCAACTTGGCACCGCTGAAGGGACTGCAGCACCGCCCAAATTTCGACGGAATCAAAGGCTTTCTCATAGTCCACATACGCCAGGCAAAGTGGCAAATTGTACTCGTCAGTCTTCTGTACAATCTGCCGCAGGGTATGTATGTGGTCTATGGTACTGAAGCCTTTTCGGAAACCGGCTTGTTCGGGAGGCTGGAAGTCGTCGAGTCTGCTTGCGAGACGATTCGTAATGACTCTCGAAAACAGCACGTAGACGCGGCTCAGAAGGGAAATCGGTCTGTAGTTCTTCAAGAGAGCGTTGTCGCCTTTCTTAAAGAACAAGACCACCGCACTTCTGCTCCACGCCTCTGGAGTAGTGCCACCATGGAGGACGGAATTGAAGAGCTTCTGAAGGACTTCAAGTACCGGTGTTCCACCCGCTTTCAGAAGCTCCGCTGTAATTCCATCCTCGCCCGGGGCCTTGCCGTTTTTAAGGTGTTGGAGAGCCATTTAATCTCGCTCAGACTGACGTCCGGGATATCATCGGAATAGTGTCGGATAAGACTTGCTCTTGGATCGTTACTCACACTTGAGTGTGGCTCCAACGATGATGTGTACAGCTGCCCATAGAACCTCTCAATCTCACTCAGAATCTCAGGTGTCCCGGAAACGATGTTGCCACACTCAGTCTTCAGCCTTGACAGTTGGCTCTTTCTGGCAGACAGATCTCTAGCAAAGACTTTGGAGACCTGGTTCCGCTCGATCGCTTCTTTAATACGAGAAGTATTAAAGTTGCGTAAGTCTCGCCGCATGCATTTGGAGATCTGTCTATTCAGTTGCCTGTATGCTGTCAAATCTGTTGACGATTGCAGCCTCATCTCCCGTCTAACAGCCATGAAATTAAGAGTGTGATCGGAGAGTTTTTGTGTTCTTCTGCGGTGGGTCTTGCAGAACTTAGCTCCGACCGCATGGACAGTTTCCACGAGCTTGTCATTCATATCGTCCACTGCATTGCAATCTTGTAGGCACTGAAAGCGGTTGTGTAACTCGAGCTGAAAGTTTTCGGGATTCTGGATTAGAGCACGAGGGGGACGGAGCGTTGACTTCATTAGACGAGACCTCTCCAACTTAACGTTTAGGTTCAGTGTGCCTCTAACCATTCGGTGATCGCTGCCAGTTTTCACCCTTGCGATCACTGAGACATCACTGAACAGTTGGCGTCTGGTCGTCATAATGAAGTCAATCTCATTTTTTGTCGAACCGTCGGGGCTCGACCAGGTCCACTTCCTGTGGGGCCGCTTCTGGAAGAAAGAGTTCATCATAAAGAGTCCCTCCTTCTCCATAAAGTCGGCCAGCTGCTGGCCCCTTCGGTTCCGTTGCCCTATTCCAAATTTCCCTAACTTCAGCTCACCGTTTTCTCTTGTGCCTAGTTTTGCGTTGAAGTCTCCCATCAACACCGTGTAGTGGGTTTTGGAGGAATGCATGGCTTTGGAAATATCCTCATACATTTCCTCCACCTCCTCATCGGAATGTGCCGAGGTTGGTGCGTAAACCTGTATGACCTTCAGCGAATACCGTTTGGTGATTCTGAGTATCAGGTACGCGACCCTCGTCGACACACTCCCAATCTTTACAACGTTGTTGAGAGAGACTTGTGGACGATAAATCCGACACCTCCTTGGGACAGATGGTCGCCCTCCCGGTGATAGAACAAGTTGCCGGATTCGAGAATCACCGTGTCCTCCCCCTCTCTTCGGACCTCGGATAATCCTATAATACTCCAGCGCAACTTGTCTATCTCTTCTTCCAGCTCCAGGATCTTCTCGTCAGTCCTCAGTGTGCGTGCGTTAAATGTTGCCAGGTCGAGTCGTCGTAGGTGGCAACCGAACCTCCACCGGAGATTCTTAGCACCCCCTGCCCCGCCGTTACCATGGTCGCCACCGTAGCCAGGAATAGCGGAGCCGCCGGGGACTGGGGGCCGTCTATTTGTGTAATTGTTCATGGGGGGGTATATTGCCATAGTTGCCACGCTTGGCGAGCGGGTTGGCAACCGCAGTTTTTTTTTTTTATCGTACAGTTGCTGTTATCAGGAAGATGCTGCTGCCCATCTCCTGCCTGTGTCCCTCTGTCGCCTTTTACGACACCCACGGGAAGATATGGGGTAGTGGATATTCTTAACCGCCACTACACGGCACTAAATGATTAACAACTCTAAATAATCGATATCGATTTTTTTAAGAATCGAAAATTGTACGTTCCCATTTTTTGTTTGGCGTGCTTGGTGCAATAAGTTTGACGGCTGTCAAAATGTATTTCTTAGATTTGGTTGACTATAATTTACCTGAGTTTATCCCCATCAAAACTTTCCTATTAATGGGTCATCAAAATTATCTATCAGCAGAAAAAAAGTTATAAATGTTATATTTAAGAACTGCAATCTATGAGGGGTCAAAATTCTCACATAGTCGATTTTAATGGCAGCTCGGAGATGGAATGGAATGGGGCAATGTATAATGACCCTCCATGGTTAAAAATCTAAAGAATAAACTTACAGTTCTCATAAATAATATAGTAACACTCACCCATAAACATTTAAATTGCTTCTTGTTGTCCAATTCATTAACTTTAATAGATAATATTTGATAGAACAGTTTCTTAGGGCACTTTGGTTTACAGTACACTAGCAAATCTTTAAGGATCCCATCATACGAGTATCTAAGTGGAGGTCCTGGAGTATCTTTGTAACTGCAAGAAAAAAAATAGTTAGGATTTACAATGTAGACGTAAATCATTATTTGCTTTTTTTATTAATGGCTTAAACATATTGTAATAAAGACACACGACAAAAGTGCGAAACATATAGTAGTGTGATCGTCAATCCATTTAGGTTGGAGGACTCATTTTCTGTTTTAGCTTCCATCTGAGCAGGTAGCTTCCTCTTACTATATCTAAGCTGCAAAGCGTGCACTATTGTCCTGCTACAAAGGAACTAACGTTTGCGGCAGCTTAGGGAGGGTTGAATTGGAAGGAGACGAAGACTTTTTCCTATATTACTTTTATTTTCTAACTTATAAGGTAACTTAAATACTGTGACAATGTAAGTACAAAGGTATACTAGACTAGTATTCCTTTGTACTCACATTGTCAATTACAAACTAACTTAATTCTTGAAAATCTTAAGTCTTAACAATTACACCTTGGTTTTTATATTCTTACGTCACGTAAGTAAATTGAGTCACATCTTTACGTGCTGGTTTTTGATTAGCAGGCGGTAGGTGACTTTCTGATTGCTTGCAAGGTCTCGGTAGGCATATGTAACTAGAGTATAGAAAGACGGTATAAATTATAGGCTGAGAGGCATTTCATCATTGTCAGTGTAGTGACAGTGCATTTGTAGCTTCCTTTATTTTAAGTTGGTTGTTACCATCAGGTGGTTAGTTTGCGTGTCGTTTTAATTTTCTAATAAATAAGTATAATGATAAATTAGATAATTAAAACAATATATTTTCAAGCATTTACTCACTTTTGACATTTAAAGAACTGTATTAAGTATGGGTCGACATTCAATCGCTGTCCCACTGCCCGAGCCATTTGGTCATAGCGCATTTGCATTGACAGCTCCATTGTGAACCTGTAAGAAATAATACAATGACGTTATAGGAAAATATACGAGGGCGGGTCAAAAATTTCGCGAAATGGAGGGCTTAGAGAGGGGAGGAGGAGAGAATTTTTCTAGCTGCCTCTACTAAGAGACTCAATACAACTATAAATACCAAGTTTCAGCTAAATCGGTTCATTAACCTTTGAGATATCACAGAATAAACAAGTCAATCGGGAAGAAAACTACACTAACTATGGAGAAAATTAACACTCCATTAGTCGTGCGTTCTACTATTGTAGAACAGGTATGCATTTCGTGGGATTTTAACATTAATTGTGGGTGTCTAACGCACACACTCATAGTATTCTTCTATTACTAGCTGGTGTGGTCACAATTAGCACTCTTTCGGCATACTGCGCGATCGTACTTGTTAGAAATTTCGTATTAAAACTAAAATTCTACAATAGTAGAGCGCGCGAGCACTCGCGTGTCATTTTTGTCGGAAGTTTACCTATCGTTTTTATTTTATGTAAGTGTTTATATTATGTATAAATATTGTTATTATGAATTTTTTTGTTTGATAATATTATTTTTAACCGAAGTAACTATATTTCGCACAATGATGGCACATATTTTGAGATGGTTGGAAGAAGTTACTGATGAAGCAACCAGCAAAGTATGGGATAAACATATTTTTACTAACGGATGTATATGCCTACCATATGGAAATATACGCAGGTGCTCAGCCAGATGGTCCTTATGCATAATCAAATAAAGTTGTGGACATTGTGCAACGAATGCTTACCCCATTGGATGGTTTAGGTTATAAAGTCACAATGCACAATTGGTTCACGAATATACCTCAGTGCTTAGAACTCTAGGTAGCAAAATTACTGTCGTAGGCACTGTGAAAAAAGATAAGCCACAAATTCCCAAAGAATTCAAAATCACAAGAAACAGAAGCGAAACGAGTTCAATTTTTGGGTTTCAAAAACAAGGTACTTTAGTATCTTACATGCCAAAATCAAAGAAAGTGGTACTTATATACTCAACTATGCACTATGATGATCATATCGATTTACAAACAGCAGAGAAACTTAAGCCGGAAATAATAACTTTTTACAACAATACCAAATATGGCGTGGACATTGTATACAAAATTTCTAAAAACTCTAGGCGATAGCCACTTACCACACACTTACAATTTAATGAATATACAGAAATAAGGCCAGGAAGGATTTTTTATATGAACTTGGTTTTCACCTAGTCGCGCCATGCATACAACGCAGAATAAATATTGAAAGTATTCCAAAATCATTGAAAATGAAAGGGAAAACGCTTTTGGGCATGAAAGAACCATCGGAATTACAACCATGTCCAGCACAACTCCCCAACACTGGTCGAGTCGGGAAATGTTCCTTTTGTGGCAAAGCGCGTAATAAGTCCACTAGAAATCAATGTGACATCTGTAAAAAGTGGATTCGTCCTCAACATCAAGTTCTTCAAAGCCTTGACTGTTGTAAAAATGATAAAGACTGTGTGGAAGATATGAGCGAGTAAAAAAAGGAGACTGAGAAGGTTTAGAAGTCTGATATTAAGCGCCTAATAAATGGTAACAGTTATGTTTCGTCTATTTTAGTTTCTTATTAAAGTTTGTTTTCATATGATATTGAAGTATTTTTATGTTTGTTTATTGTTCCTGTAAAATCTTTACACAAAATAATTCTACATATGTAGAGCGCGCGAGCACTCGCGTCCCAAACAGGGGCGCGCGTAATGGAGTGTTGAGTTATGTGCCCTGATTAAGTACGTCACCAAGCAAGGAAAAACGTCACATATCACCATTACAGATATCAATAAAATAATTTACTTCGTGTTATCTAATCAAGCGTATGGCCTATTAAGTCTGGAAAAAAATCATCTGACCTAATATAAAACTTAATTGACTATCTGTTGTGGCAAATGGTTGATGGAATTATTAAGCGTCTACTTATGTCACCATTACAGATATCAATAAAATAATTTACTATGTATTATCTAATCAAGGTTATGGCCCATGGAGTATAGAGAAAAGGAGGACAATCTCCCATAGGAGAATAAATGAAAATGTGTCCATCTGTAAGCAGTAAATAACAGTTCAAAAACTCTCCGCAACAGCACTCAAGAGCTACAGGGTATGATAAATCACCGTAAAATACGTTGAGTGGTATTGAAAATAAAAATTTTGCAAGATATAAAATTATTATCGTAAAAAGAATTATGTTGAAAGTCTACGCAATAAAAAAAATATAAAAAGTTCTTTAAAATTGAGACTGTAACTATAGTGGTGCCACCCTTATTTAGTGCTTTCCTACAGACACTTTTTATACAGTCTGTACTCCTTACATCTACACTCCATATTATGGCCTATCGAATTCTGGAAAAATCATCATACACAATTCAAAACTTAATCGACTAGTTGTTGTATCTATTACGATTCGTCAGTTAAGGCAGGCAAAGGTCTTATACCATACAGCCGAATTTGACATGTATTTTAATCAGAAAATTATTCTATATAAATTAATGCGTTCTTTAACGATTCCCTCTATGTTAGTAACTACCCTATATAAACATATCTTTAATTCCTGACTTCCTTCAGTAGTATGACCGAAGAAAAAAATGTTCAGCACTTTAAACTCTATCAGCCCTATTAATAAACACAGACTTGAGCAAGATTAACTTTACTCTTAGTTTAAAGCTTAAAATATCTAATTTCAGTATTAATAAACATAGAGTAAGGAGGGAGTAAACTAATCCGAATCTACTCTCGGAATAAAAGTTAATCCTTGGCGGTACCTAGTTTAACGACTGAGTAAGCGTAGACTAGTCGCGTATTTTGACATTTTGTAAAACTTTACGTTCACGCGCGTTGTTACCCGTATTCATAAGTTGTAAGCACTAGGAACAAAAATAGCATAATGGATTAAAATGCCAAGAAGTGATGTGGAGCAGAACAAAGTGATTGCAGGTTTTTATTCATTATGTGGATTTAGACAAGTGATTGGGGCTATTGATTGCTACATATTCTAATCCCGAAAGACGCTGGAAACATCGGACAATACTACATAAACAGGAAAGGATACAGTTCAATAAATGTACAAGTAAGTTTTATAGCACCTAGCTAGCTCATCTCTGCCGTACAGGTACTTAGTTATTTTCTCAGATTCAATACAATCACCTTAATCTATTACTTCATATTAAAGAAGTTATGAGTGATTAAGTTATGAGTGCTTTGTTCCAGGTTGTGTCAAATGCAAATTTAGAATTCATAGATACAGTGGCACATTGGCAAGGCAGCACACATGACTCAAGAATATTTAATTATCGTCGCATTAAAACAAATGTTTGAGCAGTCAGTTATTGCTTATACTTCTTATTTATACACTCCTATCCTGCGTCCTAATAAACAAAAGGAAGAATGTACAACCGGTCGCACATCTGGTGGCCCCGTTACACTGTAGAACAATGCTATGGAAAGAAGCAAAGGTTTCGGTGTTTAGTGCGAGGACTAAATACTAAATAAGAGCATACAAACAATATATACATTTCAATGCAAAAGCAAGATCTGTTAGAGGATGTAATATAAGGAGATGATGAAAATATATCAGTCACACAATTAGTAAATAACTCCGTTAGAGGAAATTCTGTTCAGGCAGCATTTATTAACGATTTTTTTTAAATAAATATACAATAATTACATGTACAAAAGATTTTATTTATCCCCAAAAAACAAAACAAAAACGGTTATTTAATTAATTTTGCCCTTCACGCTCTTTTCTTAATTCTAAAATTTCGTTACAAATAATATTAAAAATGATTTAATAATATTAAAAATGTTTTTCCACCGATTCCGAAAACAACACGAGGAACAAGGAACAACCCGTAACATTTATCTCTTGTCAAACTCAAAATATTGCCTGTCACTGTCATTAATGTCATCATCAAGCATTGAATTCATTCGCTAATCATTCACTAACTCACTCTTTTTACTTTTAAAATAAGTGGGTTGCCATAGCGCAAGCCTTAATCCCGGCGTAAGGAATGTATAGTTAGTCCGAGGTTACTCCATGCTTATTAATAACATTGTAATAACGAAGTAAATAGTCAGTTACTCTGAGATTAGCTAGTCCAAGTGTAACTTCGAATTAAGCTTGGGATAAGCAATTTTTATTAATAAGGCAGTATATTTTTACATATTTTGCATTTGTAGACGCAAGAAAAAAAGTCAACTAAAATTTATTTGGGAGTTCGCCATTGTCCTTTTAGTTTATTTCCCAAATTTATTTTAAAAAAATGCCAGAAATATCTCATGACATCTTGTTTATGCTTGAAAAATGTGGTAATTGTGGGGACAAATCTTTCGAGCTGTCTCTGTGTCTGAGAATTTTCTAAAAGTGAATTACATGGTGTTGAAGGAGAAGCAGTCATATAATATGGCAAAAGGAAAGTAACAACTTACCCAGGGTCATTTGGCACAGTCTTGTCAATGAACTGCACCTCGACCTTGTAGAATATGTACTTGAAGTAGTCCTGGCAGGTTGGCAGCTCGAGCTCGTCGTGGCGGTGGTCGGCCCGCTCGAACACGATGATGTCGCCGTCCATCAGTTCGTCCAATACCTGGCCGCGTGCACACGACTCAACCCGAGCGGCGGACAACCCCAGAGGGCAGGTCCCGCTCGGATATTAACTTACACTCACACAAACATATGAACCATAAAGCATATTAGGTATGTAAGGTTTCTTTTAATTTTTGAAGGGATTTTAGTTTGTAGCGTCTCTCGGTAGTAGCGACATACTTAATTATTCAATTATTACTCATAAACATCGACAGAAATTTAAGAGATGCTTAAAGTGGACCTCTTTCATTACACTAAATGACAATATAGACAGTTATCAGATAGTTAATAAGTACTTCAACTAAATAAGAGATATTAAACGATTATAAAGCCGTTAATTTTGCAAAGCGAAGAATATTTTTGTGAGAAAAGTTACAGTAAACTTTTGAAAGATTTTATGCAAGTCTAACACAAATAAGGATAGTGACCTCTTATAGATAAGTTACTAAGCAATTAAAATTCCGAATTAAAATCATTTTTATATAGTTTCCAGAAGAAAATAATAAATCTGTGACAGCATTTTTCGGAAAGTAGTTGAAACTTGTGTCATCATATATACTATTTATGAACTTCCAAAAAAAATCTACATTCTACATTGAAAATGTATGGGAATTACAGTAATTGAGGTCATGTTCCTTAAAGTCAAATAAACATATTATCAAATGTACGATTTTAAATACGTAAAATTAACCGGGATGGAATGGTAAGTGCAGCGGAAGAAGTATGTGGAACGACAAAAAGAGGTAGTAGTAAAAGAACAGATGCATGGTGAAATGATGAAGTGAGAGAAGCTGTAAAAAGCATGGTTAGACTACTTGGCCTCTAGTAACGATAAGCATATGAGAGAGAAGATGAAAGAAAGATACAAGCTGCAGAAAGTTCATGCGAAAACATTGATTGAGGAAGTACATGAAAGGTGTAGAATAGAAGCGGACGAGAGGTTGTCGCACAACTTTAAGAAAAACTCCAAACTCTTCTGGAAAGAGGTTGGAAGGTCCCGGAGTGGTGCGACAGCCTTAAGAATGAACAAAGTGCTTTCGAGAACCAATGACGTCCTCTCAGAAAAATCGGACGTCATGCAGCGATGGAGTGAATTTTATAGAGAAATGTATGCGTGTCATGATCTTAGTGAAGGATCCGGGGGTGACGCCGTGACTGGCACGCCAGACACGGACCTCGATGACACCGAGGTCATCAGCATGAAAGAGATTGAACGTGCGATTCGAAGTTTGAAATGTGGTAAGGCTGCGGGACTAGACAGAGTTACTGCTGAAATGGTCAAGTACGGTGGGCCTCGCGTCTGGGACAGCTTTCGTCTGCTGTGCAATTTGTGCTGGCGGACGGGAGATGTCCAGGATGATTGGCGATCCGCGGTCATTGTACCTTTATATAAAGGTTATTATGTGGTAGAGCCATGCTGCAGTTATATTAGTAGTATAGTTGTAGCACGAATGGGTCGGCTCGACCGGGGAAGGACCACGCTCTCACAGAATACCAGCGTAAAATATTAGCGTAATGCTGCTGTATTTCGTATGGTGAGTGTAGAGAACCGGAGACCCTTTTTACTGGAAACGAGGCATTCCATCTTAGTCCTCACGGGTGACAACGCATCCGCATTTTGATTCGTAATCGAGGATAGATGTAGATGTCTATGGGCCACAGCAACCACTTACCATCAGGTGGACTGTGTGCTCGTTGGTCACCTTATCCTATAAAAAAAAAAAAGGTAAAGGTTCACATTTTGACTGTGGGTGCTATCGGGCGATCAGCTTGACCAGTTTAGCAAGTAAAGTTTACTCGAAGGTTTTGACACGTAGGATGCAAGAGAAATCGGAAAGATTTTTATGGGAGGCACAATGCGGATTTAGACCTGGAAGAGGATGCACGGATCAAATGTTTTCTCTCCGCATGATCACGGAAAAGCTTCTGAGTGTTAACCAGAGGATTTTCTGTGCTTTTGTGGATCTGGAGAAAGCATTTGATAAGGTTATAAGGAAGAAAATGTGGGAACTGTTGTCGGGATATGGTGTGGATGGATCGATTGTTAAGGGCTGTGCAGTCACTTTACTATGACTGTAAAGCCTGTGTGCGGGTAGGGCATGACCTGTCACCAATGTTTAGCGTCCAAGGGGGCGTAAAACAGGCTTGTGTCATGTCTTCCTGGCTGTTCATACTGTATCTCGACAGCTGTTTACAGAAGCTGAAAAATAGCTGTTTGGGTGTGAAATTGGGTGACATTAAAGTAAATTGTCTGCTGTATGCTGATGATGCAGTGCTTATTGCACCATCAGAAGCAGAACTGCAGGCATTAGTCACGTGTATGAAAGGGGAATGTGAAATTAAAGGTCTCCGTTTGAATGCTAATAAAACTAAGGTTCTGGTATTTGAAAAGAATGAAGAGAGAACCAAATGTGAAATATGGGTAATTCAGGAATGTCTAGAACAGGTAAATGAAATTGTATACTTGGGGGAGTGCTTTCAGCCGGGATGGAAGATGTGATTTAGATGTGGATAGGCGTGTCGCTGCCGGAAACAAAGTCAATGGTGCCCTGAATGCATTAGTCAAAAGGCAAGGCGTGGTGAAGAGTGCACGCCTTGCAATACATAACGCAGTGTTGGTACCGACTTTGTTATATGGCAGCGAAACCTGGGTACGCCAGAAGAAGCATAAAAAGCAAGTTGAATGCAGTGGAGATGCGATCTCTTCGTAAACTGTGTGGCGTTACCATAGTCGATCGAAAGCGAAACGAAGAGATTCGCAATATGGCAGGATTGAAAGATGACCTTATCACAAAAATTGATAGGGGCGTACTCCAATGGTTTAGGCACGTTGAGCGAATGAGTAAAGACCGAATGGTGAAGAAAATATATAGAGCGAAAGTAAATATTAAAAGGTGTCGAGGTAGACCGAGACTAACTTTCGAAGACCATGTGAGCAAATTGCTCGAAGAGGGGAAGGTCAAGAGTACTCGGATACCTAGACGTGCATGTATGAAGAAGTTAATGAACCTGAAAGAAGCGAAAGAGGTATGTAAGGATCGTGACACTTGGCGATCTGTTCTCTCTGACTACCCCGTTAGGGATTGTGCGTGAAGATAAGTAAAGTAAAGTAAAGTAAAATTAACCGAAAGCCGAAAACCGACTATGTTTTGAGATAACACTTAAAGCACCAAATTAAAATTATATGTTATAGTGATTTGTGACTGATGCTGTCTATTTAGATGGGATTTAAAAATTATATCATTTAAAGCGCAGATCTCTTCCCCTCATATAATTTAATTACTACAAGCAAGTGAAATATAGCATCTAAGCTGTTAGTAACATTTCTCAATAGATAAATTGCACAACTACAAACCTTTTGTTGTCATATACAATTATCACAAAAAGTAATTGATAAATTAAAATGGATGAAATAAATTAAAAAAGAGAAAGCATTTGGGAACAGTATTTGAATAAAGTGGCAATTAAGTTAAAAAAAATATGTTATCACAATACTTATGTTATGTACCATACCTGGATCAGCATATGTACTATAATACTAATCATTAATAGTGAAGAAATTTACGAAGATATTACACACCATAACACCATAAAAATAAAAATTAAATTTTAATTAGGGATTAAATAACGTAAATTAAGCTACACTGCATAAAATTTACCCATCAAGAATATATGTATTTTTTTTTGTAAGAGTGATGAATTTGAATACAGGATTTGAATTTGAAATCTTCATTTAAGTTAATTATTTAAGTAAAGCGGGTTTCACCAACTTTTGAGCTTTGTATATGAACCACAAGATACTGAATACAAAAATTCAATTTATTTATAATTTTGAATTTTTTAACTTTTTGAAGATACTATAATATTAATTTCATTTTGGAAGTTTTTTATAAGAATGTAACATCCATATACTTAGGCTCGCAACATCATGTCAAAATTATTCATTTAATATATTATACAGATAATACTTTACTTAGAAGTAAGGTAAAGTTTGATAGAGTAAAACTGATAAATAATACCTTTTCAAGAGGATCATTGAAATTGTTGATCTTCTCCACAAAGTCGGGTTTGATCTCTTCATACAAGACGAGAGGTGTATCAGGTGGGAAACCTGTAACAATTACATCATAATCTTTAATATGACAATTATCAATGACAAACATTTACAGTTTCCCTGTCCAGAGTAGACAGTTAAACAGTTGAAATATTCATAATTTAAAAAAAAATATTCTATTCATATTCATAGGATAGGTAAAGGGTTAATTGACATTGAATTAAAATTTGAATTATTTTCATTAAAACTGACAATAACGCTCCATAGTTTTTACCTCTGACTGCCAGAAAGAGCCAACTGTCGAAGTTGAAGACCAAATATGGTAGCATCGTATCAGGGACATCTGAGATTTTAAGTGAGGATACAGAGGTTCTATGGGCAGCTGTTCACGTCATTGTTGGAGTTACACGCAAATGTGAGTAACAATACAAGAGCAAGTCTCATCCAAAAATATTCCCATGCTATCCCGGACATTAGTCTGAGCAAGATTAGAAAGAAGAGAATGGAATTACAGCGGTGCATCTGAGAGCTGGTGAAAACCTAGTACTTGAAATATTTCAGAAGCTCGTCAATACCGTCCCTCATGGTGACACTACTCCAGAGGCTTGGAGCAGAAGTGCGGTGGTCTTGTTCATTAATAAAGGTGACAATGCTGTGTAACTATGTTAAAAAAACTACAGACCGATTTTCCTTCTAAACCGCTTCTACTTGTTGCTTTCGAGTCATTGCAAATCACACACGCAGACTCTGCGACTTCCAGCCTCCCGAAACCATAGATCGCATACATACCCTCAGCTAATTGTACGTAAGACTGACGAATACAATGTATATAGTATGTATTATGAGAAAGCATATGATTCAGTCTAAATTTGGACGGTGCTAAAGTCCCTTTAGCGGTGCCAAGTTGCCTGTAGGTACACCAAAGTGCTCAAGTGTTTGTACAGTAGTGCTACAATGGCTATCCGAGTACATAACCACAGTACGAAACGTACGAGTAGGGAGGTGTAAAGGCAGGGTGACGTTATATCCCCGAAACATTACCGCTGCCTTAAAAGACGTTTTCAAGCTGGACTGGAAAGGATACGGTATTATCATCAACGGCGAGTACGTCACTCAGTTTCGATTCGCCGACGATATAGTCCTTACAGCAGAATCGCTGGAGAAACTTAGCACTATGCTCATGACCTCAATAGTGTCTCCTAATAGATTTGTGGATTATAACACCATCAAACCGCAATGTTTAAAACAACCTAACTCAAAAATAGCGCAAAAAGAAATTACACAATACTTCAAAAAAAATAATATCACAAAGACGAATAATGTTACTAATAATAACACAAATATAAGTAAAGTTCAACTAACTATTCCATATATTTTCAACAAAATAAAACTTAAACAAGCTAATGCTACTCTAGGTCCTAACAAAACTATTGAAAGTGACAAAAATTCAGACTTTTTTCGTAAATAAGGATGAAAACTGTTTTAATATAATTCACTTAAATGTTCAAAGTATTAAATCAAAAACAGAACAATTGGAATTGCTAATGCTGGAGAAAAACATCGATGTATGTTGTTTCTGTGAAACTTTTTTAAAGAATCACGAAGTTGACATATTTCAAATTGACGGATATAAAAAAGTAGCTCATTTCTGTAGGAAACGTAAAAAGGGAGGTGGTGTTGCCATTTTTGTAAAAAAATCTATTGATTACCACGAACTTCAATGGATATCAGAAATGGCTATAGAAAATCATTTTGAATGTTGTGGTGTGTTAATAAGTGGATTAAACTATTTAATAATATCCGTGTATAGAACACCAAATAGTGACTTGGATGTTTTTTTGATTAATATGGAGTATTTATTAAGAAAAATAACAATACGAACACGAAATTGTTATAAAAGTATATTTGTATTAGGTGATTTTAATGTAAATATATTAGAAAATCATAAACAAAGTAAATCGCTACTGAACATGTTTCAGGCTTATAAATTACATCCTACTATTTTGATACCTACCAGAATTACTTCACACTCACAAACATGTATTGATAATATTATGACTAATATGAAACAATATAATGTTAGTGTATTAGATGTTGGGGTATCTGATCATACTTGTCAATTGATATCGATTCCCTCAAACAAAAGCTTTAAGAATAAGTTTTGGTATATGTTTATAAGAAACCCAGACATGTATATAGAGATTTTCTTAAAATACCTATCACAGATTAATTTCATAGATGTTTATTCACAATGTGATCCCAATGACGCGTATACAATATTTTTAGATCAGTTTAGTCTGATTTACGGTCTTTGTGTGCCAAATAAAAAAATTAAAATAACATATAAAAAGAGATTAAAGTGGAAAACAAAAGGTATTACGATATCCACTAGGAACAAAAGACAGTTATATTTAAAGAAACGGTATACTAACTGCCTTGCTGCGAAAAATAGATACAAAAGTTATTGTAAAATTATGAAGGCAGTTACTAAGCAATCAAAAAGAAATGCAAACATTAACTATATAAACCAATGTAGTAATAAAAGCAAAGTTACATGGCAAGCTATTAAACAAAATACTACAAAAATAAATAATATTAATGAGACAATAGAAACTATTCAAAAAGATGACATTACAATTAATCAACCTCATGACATAGTTAAATTAATGAATGACTATTATAACAAATTAAATAATCCTATCCAGTCTATTGGCGACATAACATTCAAACCAGTGACTAATCCAAATTTAAATAGCATTTTTATGACCCCTGTAAATATTTCCGAAACTATTAACATTATGAATAATTTAAAGAACAAAAAAAAGTATAGGCTACGATAATATACCGATGAAAGCAATAAAATCAAGTACACATTTAATAGCGGAACCTCTAACGTATATTATAAACTTGACCTTAGAAACAGGAATTTTTCCAAATGAGTTGAAAAAAACACTAATAAAGCCTTTATACAAAAAAGGTGCCAAAAATGACATAAACAATTATAGACCTATTGCTCTATTATCAAATTTTTCAAAAATATTCGAAAAAGTCATTTCAAATAGGTTAATATCATTTTTAGACAAATATAAGATTTTAAATGTAAATCAATTTGGGTTTCAAAAAGGGAAGAACACGACATTGGCTATATTCAAAGTTTTGAAAGATATTTGGAAAGATGTAGATCAAAAAAGGACTTGTGTTGGTCTCTTTTTGGATCTGTCAAAAGCGTTTGATAAAACATATTGATAAAACAGCTTGAACATATAGGCATACGTGGAATAGCCCTAAAATTAATGGAATCTTATTTAACTGACAGAATACAGGCGACAATATTAGATTAGATACATTTGACAAAAAAACAAAATCAATAACTCAAGTGCATTCCGATTTCAAAAAATTAAGCCTAGGTGTATCGCAAGGTAGCATACTAGGCCCACTGATGTTTTTAATTTACATAAACGAGCTTCCATTAATGATCAATCATCTATGTGTAATGTATGCTGATGATGCTACAATATTCTTATCAAGAGATAAACAAGATGATGCATATTTTGTGAATGAAATTTATAACACACTAAACACAGTAATGAACTGGCTAACTTCAATTAATTTAAAAGTAAATTTGGGAAAAACAAAACTAATAGAATTTAGGAATTATAGAAAAGCTCCAATTGAATTAAATATTATAATCGACGGTGAAAAAATTGAGAAAGTGCATGACATGAGATTTCTGGGTATCAACATTGATAGTAATTTGAACTGGAAATCACATGTTGAGAAAGTAAACAGTAGGATTTCAAGCAGTTGTTACGCCATATCAATATTGAAAAATGTAGCATCTAGAGATGTAGCAAAAAATTATTACTATGGTCATGTCTATCCACTTCTGACATATGGAATTATATTCTGGGGCAATTCTGTGGACATTCAGTCAACATTTGTTTTGCAAAAAAAGTGCTTAAGAATTATGTATAATATTAATCAATATGACTCTTTAAGAAATGTATTTATAGATTGTAAATTTCTGACGTTGACTTGTATATACATACTTGAAATTTCTGTGTTTGTCAAAGATAACCAACATTTTAATTTTAAAAAGAATCAAAAAAGAACTCAACACGCTTTTGATGTGTGCATTGTTAAATCATCTAGTTACATTTATAGTAAAAGTACTTTAATAAGCGGAATCAGAATCTTTAACCATTTACCTATATACATTAAATCGTTAGAGAGCCCAAGATTTAAAAAAAAGTTAAAAGAATGGTTATTATCAAAATGTTTTTATAATTTAGATGAATTTTTCGAAAGTAATTATTGATTTATTGTAGTGCTTTATTTTATTTTTTATTATATTGTACGTCCGAAATGGACAAACTGTTGTAACTATAACTCTGTATTTGTAAGACCTCATATACACAGTTATGACAATAAATGATTATCTTATCTTATCTTAAGTCTTAAGATGAATATGGACAAAACCAAGACCATGTGTGATGCCCATGTCGCAAGCATGCTGGTAGTTGTTGGGATTATATGCTCGAAACTGTCAAGGAGTATGTTGACTTAGGACAAATAGTCCAAGTAGGTAAATCGGAATTCTATAGGCAGGCCATCGACGGTTTAACTAGGTTGAGCAGCGATCGAGAAATTACGACATATCTTCTCGTCAGTTAAGTAAAGTAAAATTACAGCCTAAATACATTTCACCACTAGGCACAGGCCTCCTCTCATATCTGAGAGGGTTATAGGGCAAGGAAATGTCCGCCGCGCTGCCTCAATGCCTGTTAGCGAAAATAAATATATTTCGAAGATATGTGACGTTCCACATATCTTATTTCTCAGACATGCAGGTTTTCTCACAATCTATTCCAGCACTACTAAGCATGTTGGTGAATCTCGTCAAGTATACCTTCATTCATTAACCAGCTTAGTCGACTGGCTTCTCTCGAGGCAGCTAACTGACCCCAAATTCTTGTTTTTAAGTTTTAAAGTATACCTTAAAACTTAAAAACAAGATTTGTATAATCAGTGCATATTGTCAGTAATGGTATATGGATCTGAGACGTGGTGCTTCACTGATGGCCGTATGAGGAAACTCAAGGTCGCTGAGCGAACTATGGAGAAGGCTATGCTTGGGGTTGTACTGCGTGATAAACTTCGAAATCAGGAATAAGGATATCCACAGTAGCAATGGACCGGCTATATAGCTGGAAGAACCGTCGAGCGATGGGGAAGAAAGTTTCTCGACTGGTGACCTCATACGCAAAACAAAACACTGCGTACTTCGTAGCAAAACGTGAGGCGATCGCCTTGATGGGGTGACGACCCGATAAGATATGCAAAAAATCAATGGATGCAAGAGACTCAGGACCGTACCTTGTAGCATTCCTTGAGGGAGGCCTATGTTCAGAAGTGGACTTAAAGGGTAAGGTAAAGGTAAAGGGCTGTAAAGATCATTTTTGACATTAGGATATGTGCAGTATGCATTATTGAAAATTTTCTATATCTTTCTTGAAGACATAGTTGAAATTGATATTGCTAAGCAGCAGTACCAGAAAGATTAAGTACAGACTATGAAGCATTCCATGTTAAGACACAGGGATCACAACAGAGCAGTAACCCGGTTTGCTTCATTGCTAATGAGGACTAATAATCTTACGGTCACCGGATGTCCTGCTAGTTGACCCTGAGGTGAAGTTTTTAGTTACAGTCTCATTTCATTGATAATTTAGTTTTAAATAAAAGTTGATTAATTTCTAGAGTTTTATATTAATACACAAAACAACGCTTTAGTGGTTTGTTCTTTAATACATTTACATTTATTTATTATTTTTATTTTTTTGTGAATATGTGGTTTGGTTTAATATTATCAATGTAATTAATATGAAATATAACTTGATACAGAATAAAATTCCTTACATTTTCGTTTTCCCAACAATGAAATCTATATCATGCATGCCTATATTCAGCGGTGGCCTAAGCAAAATATAGGTATCATATTATTGACACGCAACATTATATATATATATATAGTGTTCTTTGTCATTGCTGGCTGTCATTATCATCATTGTCCTATCAAAAGTACACTACTGAATATAGACCTTCCCCATTATATCACTTCATAGTTACCCACAAGGGAGGTGGGTTAACAGTTTTTATATTATTTTTAATGTTATCAGGAAGATGTTGCTGCCCATTTACTATTTCAGCGTCCCGCTGTCACCTCTTATGACACCCAAGGGATGATATTGGGTTGTGGATCCTCGTATGTCACCCCTGCACGGCACTTTGTGCTGTCAGAGATATTCTTGTGAACCAAGCCCATCACAACCCATAACATTCCCGTGAAATAGTTCATATCTACCCAGAATTCATATTTGGAAATCGATAGAAAAGGGGAGATTGGCTTGGTAAGGGACGCAGTTTGGAAAACAAACAACTTTCCCTGGTGGTACTTAACTTCTATATCATTGCAATTGTGGTCAGATACTTTAATACCATGATTCATGATTGTAGCTCAGTAACAGTGTTGCTAAACTCATATGAAGGGAACATTCACTTAAAATGCACTCATAAGATCACAATAGGAATGCTGACCAAAAGAATATTCAACCAACTCCCTGATGTAAACAATTACTTTCAGTCATAACCAATCTTTAAATTGACTTACTAATACATCAGCATAATAGTAAAGGAACATACCTGCACGTTTATTGAGTATTGGTATAAGATCCGCGGGCTTGCTCGCGATAGGGAGGTAATGGTGGCCGCAGTAGTGTATGCGCTTCTGTTTGGGATCATAGTACTTGAAGAACAGCACAACATCATTCTCTTTGTCGAAGGGGGGCAAGGCACTAAAACCAGAATCCGGAGGCAACATTTCCAAGAATATGTTCCATGGATTCATGTTCTCAGAAATATCAACCACTGTCTTCTGTTGATCATTAACAATGTCCAGGCACGTTGGTCTGCAGGTCTGTTTAAAAATAATGTAAATAAATAAGATGTAAAATGGTTCAAAATATGAAATAATCATACCGCCTAACAAGTCTAAAAACAAAGTCATCTGTTCGCTCGACAGTGGTACAAATGTGACTAACACAACGCCCTCCGCCCGCTCGACAAGGATACACATTAGTACCACTCATAATTTATGAGGGCGAACCCGACAAAAAAAGGTTTGTCATTAAAAATTATAACAAATTTATACTGAAATGTATAATACAGACACAGACAGAGACATACTCTTTAATTTGGTACCATAATCTGTCAATGTCGATTCTAAAAATAGACATAAAAATCATTCTGACATAATGGCTTTTTACAACAGTAGTGCGTGGTAGTGCGTGAGCTATTTCTGAGTGATTTCTCCGTTTTTCTGAGTGTTTTTGAAACAAAAAGGTGAGTTTTATACTTTTGTGTATTCCTTGTAATAATACAAACACGTAGATATATAATTTGTGGCATAAAAATTGAAATGTAAGTGCCAAATATACTTCGAAATCGGGAAGGCCCATTTTAGCGGTTGGGTCAAAAATGTGTTATTTTTACAATTCTCATTTATTTTTAGTGTAAAATGTAACTAAAAAAATAGTTTTATAACATATTTCAAATAACTTAACGTTGTATTTATTTCAAATTCACACAAAAATATATTTGAAATATTATTCGGAAATCTCATACAGATAAAAATTAATTTCGTTTTTTTTTTATATTTTGGTATGAGTAACGAATAGACACACATAAAACATAAAAATATACATATTTCCAAACATTTTCATATAGATTTCTCCAAAAACAAACATGTAGAATTCAAATTAGTAGTAATTTTAGACTAAAAGTGAAGTATCTACTACTACTATGATATAAAGGGTAATTTATGAATTTTATTACAATTTCTAGGAATTAAAAATAATTTTATTCGATAGTTTATACATTCAATAAGAATCCCTGTAAGTTTTATACATAAATATTGTCTCAAAGTGAAAATATAGCAAAATTTGCAATTCCCGCCATTTTACGTCGCGAGCCAACCGGCGAATCGAATATAGTCGCCTTTCGAACATACAGGTTAATCACCTAACAGAATTACATGTATAGGTAAAAGAGAAACTAAATATTCTCTTACAAGGATGGGTATCTCAATAGTCAACACCTGATAAGTGTGGGATGACACCTGCACCTGGCATACCTTATGCTTCAAGTTGTAGGATTCTTATTGTCCCGAAGTTCTACTGACAATCCTTACATATTTCTGTTGTCATGCAGCAATCCATCCACAATTGTGTTCGAGTTTGAAAGAGTTGTGGGGAGCCATTAATAATATAAATCCATCATCCTTTGGTTCCCCTAAATATCATTGTTAAGGATTTCAACACACAGAGATACTCAAAGTATAACAATATTAAGCATCCGCATACAGCCAGTAATTATGGATCACAACTCAGATCCCAATTATCACAGTGACTAGAAAATGTTTTGTAATCTCTTGAATAATGCCTCACCAAGTTGGAACCTTTGAGTCGAATTTGACTTACCAAGCTGGGCAATTTAACTTGGATAAACATACTTGTAATCAATTACCATCAGGTGATCCACATGTTCGTTTGCCTCCTATTCTATAAAAAAATAAAATAAAAAACAACTTCCAGAATTGTGTTCCTATTAATTACTGGCATAAGTCAGACATGACACTAGTTGTACGCTCTTGTTTATAAGTTTTGAAGAATATGTGACATTATTTATAAGCTAGCTGAAGTTGCCACTTACCATCATGTGAACAATGTTACTTTACTTTACTTTGCTAAGCTTTAGCTGGTTTGTTCTTTGTCATAAAAAATTACTATGAACACCTATTTTCAGAAGAGATAACATTTTCTAAGCAAGGAGTTAATGATAATTTTAAAACAAAGAGCACTTACATTATTAGAACGCGCACTGAACGGCCATGGACGGATATGTTTAAGCGGGTATCTGAAGTTTTCTGCCAACATCTCCATGAGCTCGGTGACAGTGGCCTGCTTACGAACTCTGAACACCCTGTAGTGTGCTCGTTCAGGATCGTACAGATCATTACCCTGGTGCCCGTCGAACACCTCCTCAAGCACAACATTTACGTTCATATACAGGTGTGCTTCATTGCGTTCCTTGCGACGTATCTGTAATAAGAAAAAAATAGAATATAATAATAATAAGTTCTCGTCTGAAGGGTGAAAGCCAATATAATTAAAGACTGAGAGACATTTTGTCCTCAGAGTTGACAACACATCTGTAGCATCCTTTTTTCAAAGTTGGCTACAAGTGGCCATGCACCGTTGTAGCAATTCACCATTACTGTGGTACTGTATAACTGTAGTAGTGTAGTACTGTGTGGTGGACTGTATAAGTTCGTTTGTCGATTCAGTTTATAAAAAACAATGGTAATAAAATTCAAAGAAAAAGATCATATATGTATAATGAAGCATATAATAATGTTAAAAAGGTATAGCATATATATATTCTATGTATTTATTTATTTATTTTACAATACAACTATCATTATAGCCTAATTTATTCGAAAGCATACATTTAATTATAATTAAAGCATTAAGAGCGTATATTCAAGCGCAAGTCAAAATCGCTCTGGAACGGCGTAATATTGAAGCACACTACAATGTTCTCTGTGTACGTAACTCCTCGAGGTGGGGTGAGCGCAAGGTCACTATAATAGTTGTATCCAAAGTTTTTTGTATCTAGCACGAATCATCTTGATACTATTGGAACTAAAAGAATAAAATAATTTCCACGTAATAGCTTATGAGCTCTAAGACATAGTGTATATGAGAATATGAATGAATTAATATCCGATCTAGTCCTGACGTCGGAAGCTAATATGTATAAATTATTTTATTTTTGTAGTAAATTGAAGTCGGCTTTTCTTTTTTACTCTATTGAGTAAGTAGACTAAGGAATCTCACAACGCCAAGTTAGTTAACAACTAGAAAGGGGTAAGTGATATATGTTCAAATTGAAAAATATGTATTATATAAAACAGATTTCGTTCGATATACATTTATTCTGTATCATAATGTAAAGATAATTTATCTAAATAGCAATTTCAATGGTGTCGGCGGGGATCGAACCCGGGTTGCTTGCGAGCACTTTGCCCTTGAGCTACCATGGCTCATATCTGTTTTGTTTCTATTATATAATAACGTGTATATGTAATAACCTCCACACTAAGAATGTTTCCTAAGTATATAGTGGAGGCAGTTAACATAAGAACATAAAATTTCACAAGGACAAACATCCAGACCCGGAACAATTATTTGTAGGTTTACAAATTTTTGTTCCGTGCGGGAATCGAACCCGCGGCCCTTATAGTTAAACTTATTGCTAAGCCACTCCGCCACGGAGCCGTCAAATATATCTTTTGTATTTTAGTTATAAATGGCTTACTATTAAATAAACTTAAAAAATTATTAATAATTAATTTAAATAATATTATTTAACAAAGTATCATTCCTTACGTTGTGTTGCGCGAACTATTGTTTATCCTGTAGCTATGCGCCTTATCATCGTTTCCGACAGTGTGTCCATATAAAGTCGAGAATTTGGTTTTAAAATCGGGACAATTACAATAGCTACAAAAAACAGATTTTTGTAGCCATTGTGGTCGCTATTAGCTATACAGGTTTTTTGACACAATACGCAATGTGTTTTATAATTATTATATAGAACTGATCAAATTAACGAATCATTTTTGGTCCAAACATCGTTGAAGACTGAACTTTCTGTATAATATAACTGTGAAAATAGTAATAAATCTTATGAACTCACAATTCATGCACTTCAAAGAGCACTTTAAAAAAGAACGGCATAGTTCCAACGGTTTTAATACCTCACATCTTGATAGCCTAGATAAAATCCTTGCATCGAACATATAATGTTACTTTACTTATTGAAAACAACAGTACCTACAAACGATTGAAGAAATTGACTAGTGGAAGAACTTTTCCACAAGCCTTTTGCATTTTACTAAATGTACTTATCTAAGCAGCAGCATGTAAGTTAGATATTGTACTGATTATTATTACGATGCACAGCGCAAACCGGCGATATGCATCAGGCAGTGAGAAAAAAAACAATTAAACATGATTGATATCCGCATTTTGCCATGCCATCACATTACGCGCAAACTTTGATGCGGCCTATTTAGTCCAAGTTTGGTGGGAAAATATGCAAAGCCCGATATAAGATATATTCAATTTTGCTTTCAAAATGATCGATCGAAATATAGACTAATTAGTGAAAATCCCGCGCAAATCGGGACACTTGGCAACACTAGCTTATGCTATCGGTGTGAATTAACATGTACGCGGGAGTGGCGGGAGAAACTGATACGTCCTATCGTTGGGAAGACCCGGAGCATACTGAATCGGACGGCGTTTGCGCGTGATAATTCATAGTATTTTTAAAATAATCATATTTTTTTGGATATTTCAAAATTACCTGTATTTTAATAAAATAATCAAAATAGATAAGTTTATATCCTAATACACGGAAAAAAATGACATTGAAATGGACAGTTTTGGTGATTTTATAGTATTGTTTTTTAATATTAAATCGAAATATTTTCGTAATTTAAGCTTTGCTATACACTAAAAGACTACATATTCTATTATAATAATGTTTAAAATAGAGTATTTTAGCTTATAATCATGGTTGTATTCCACCTGAAAGATAACTCTGACGCATATTTTCGTAAAACACTATGAAGAGATTGTCTTCGGTCTAAAAAACCGTCATTAAAAACTATGATTTTCCGTTGCAATGTACTAAATAAAGACTTTATCTTCTAAATCCGTAATTTTCTGCAAATAATTTGCTCACATCGTTACAATATCGCCCTTGAAAAAACCCTAAAACATTTAGTTTTGACGCAAATAGCATATGCCCTCTTAAATAAAGAGGCTCTTTTAAATGTCCCGCAAGCATGAACGCACGTACGCACGCACGCACAAACGCACTCACGCAAGCACGTATATATTACACATGTGTGCCCGCGCTAATCTAAAATCATTTGCATCATCAAGAAATGATTTTAGATTGGATGCAAATGATTTTAAGTTTCGGGTGCATATAGGTCCGACTGAGTACTTTATGCGCTATTAAAAAGTAAGAAGGAAGATTTATCTGTGAGTAGGTAAAGAAACTGAGCATGGTGTCGGCGTGATTTTAAATACAGCGCTCCTCTTTTGGTTAGTGTGAACTTCCACTTTGTTGCACCCAAACACGCCCAAATAAAGGTTAAATGAATCAACAGTAAGAATGGATATTGCTTTGCTGCTGCACGTATGGGCCGGCTCAAACCGGGGTAGTACCACGACCTCACAGAATACCGGCGTGAAGTGGGAGCTCTGCTTCCGGTTTTCGTCTGGTGAGTGCAGGTGGCCAGAGGCCCAATCCCCCCCCCCACCCACCACCAACATGGTAGCGTAATTAAATATTCCCCCAGAACCCACCAACCAGAAAAGTACCCGCACCCGTGTAGAATCCCTCGCCGAGCATCATTATTTTTGGATAAGAACATGGTAATCACTCTAAGTTATATTATCCTACATTTTAAAAAATTTTTGTGTGGCCAAACCTACTATACTCTTTAGCTTGACCATATGTTTGACTAATTGGTTTAATAAACTGACATTGCTTTAGTGGTTAAAGCTCAAAACTGAAATACATAATTGTTCAATTACATATCATGCCATGTGACATAATTTACGTCATTTTAGAGATATTTTATGATGAAAGTAATGCTTTACTGCAATTAATTTCAATTATACTTTATTGAAGTAAGGTAAATTTAAATAAAATAAAATATAAATTTAATAAAAAGGTTTAAATTAAATAAATACATTGTTAATTATATAAACATAGTATTGGATACAGTAGTTAACAAATTTTAAAATGTCTTTTTATTAAGAGACGAATTTAAAATGGATATATAATTATGTCTACTCAATAATGAAATCAGTGTTCGTCATTTCCTGGACATATTACAGATTTTATAAATTACTGATTATTATTTAAAACAAGAGAGTTTAATTTCATTTAAATGCAATACGTAATATGACTTTTGCTTAAGTTTGTGGTTATTAAAAATTAATCAATAACATGTTAAAGTATGAATGTAATTTTCTGTTGAACTCTACCTGGGGTGGAAAAGAGGAACAATAATCAAAATGTAGTTCAGATTATCCACCCCATCTAGAGTGGATAAACGATCAAGCATTCTCTAGGGTGGATTTCTTAGGGTGTATAAGCAGAATAACCCAAATAGTCGCACGGAGTAGAGATTGTGACCAAAGAGTATATAATCACTGTCTTAATTGTCGCTAAAGTATTTCAAAATGTTGCCAACAAATATGAGCTGTGAATTTTGTGCGATTTCAAACATTTCTTTTGAAAAAGTCTGGGTTACATATATCAGGGCAAATATGCATTTATCTTATATTGAATATCTGTGTGTAAAAACCCAAAATTTTTGTTAATTACTGAGCGACCATTAATATTCATGAACTAATAGCAATGTTACTCACTGTCTCAATTCTCTTTTCCTCTGCCAGTCTTTCACTGAGCTCTGTGGGTATATCAGCTTGAGTCACTTCTTGCAATACCGTCTTCAACTGTGAATCTCTTGAAACAAAAATTGAATAAATTTACGAAGGTGTTTCATTTTTTATTGCACATATTTAGTATATGATATTTTGTAGATTCTTGATAAATAAATGCTTAAAATTATTTATTTTAGATTTTACAAAAATATACATTTTATTTAAGATAAACAGGTTCAGGTTCAACCCCCAGTCAGGAAAATAATGAATTTTATTATAAAATAATACTCTTTTTTAAATTTAAAACAATTGCAAAATTTAAAACGCTAACTTAAAAAAACAAAAGCAAAAAACTTTCATCTTGATGATGACCAACACATAAATAGTAAAATATATAAAGAGTTATACAATTCCCAAGTGCTGGTGGTGACTCACCTAATGTAGACCAACATGTAAGCGTTTGTGCAGTGACGCACTGTCAGGGTCATATCCTCGTCATGTCCACCATAGTTGTACTCGATGGCTTCCTGCTTCGTACAGCGTGACACCACATCGTCGTCAAACTTGCACCACTATTTAAAATTCAATTAAAACTTTTAATTTCAATAAAACTCGTTTTTTATTACAATGATTAGTAGCAGGTACTACTTGTACCTTTATAGAACTTAGTCCGCATTTCCACCTGCAAAAAAACTTCTGCAAGAAGCGTCCAACAGACTATCAGACAGTAGCTTGCAGATGTAAACTATGTACCAAGTGCACTCGCGACAATTTGCAAACGTTTCCTGCGAGTAGTTGCGAGTGCAAATCGAAACAGGTTCACATCAACTCGCGACAGATCCCGCTGCTTATCGATCTGGTTTTATTCGTAAAAAGTACATACGCTATTTAAAATTAGAATTCAGAATAATTCATTATTGATGAGCATCTCTGTTTTTATGGAACTACATTTACTACAATGAAAGGAAAGTAGGTATTGGCAAAAATAATAATTTTATATACTACTTTAAGTTATTACTTCTGTGTTGAATCCTATAATTAAAGATAATATATTATATACCTAACATGGCATATGGCAAATAAATTCTAAGGCCGCGTTTTCACCTGCAACAATACAAAATAAATTGCCATAGCCTTCGCGATTGTGTGTAAATAGCTCTACGATAAGTTGTGATAGTACGATTTGTGAGCTTCTAATGAGACATTTATTGCAAAAGAAAAATTGTAAGACATACGATAAGTAAACAGTATTACAAAAAATTTATGCAAGTCTTCCAAGGTCTTTCGCGTAGGTGTGTCCTTAGTAATACACATGAACATTATGATAATCCTAAATGGATCCTTTTTAAATGGGGGCAATTAGACTTATGTTTCACTGTAATCACAAATAACAGAAATAAACTCAGCTTTGTCTATTCCTTTATAGTTAAATTCTTGGAGCAGTACATGCTACAGTATTTGCTACACATGCACATTATTTCAGTGTGCATCAGCTCAAGCGTTAAAAATTATTATCTTAGTACCATCAGAATGAATAGTAAGTAGAGAATGGTTGTTGGCAGTGATTTAAGACAATAATTCATCATCATCATCATTACAGTTTTTCACAAGTCTACTGCTGAACATAGGCTTCCCCAAAGGAATACCACAAAGCATGGTCCAGAGCCACTCCATCTAGTGAGGAGTCGCCCTACACTTCGCCTACCATTACGAGGCTGCCACTCGAGAACCTTTTTTCCCCATCAGTTGTCATTTCTTCGAGCTATATGGCCGACCCATTGCCACTTCAGCTTACTAATCCGTTAGGCTATGTCGATCACTCTAGTTTTTCTGTGGATATCCTCATTTGTAAGTTTATCACGAGGAGAAACTCCGAACATAGCTTTCTCCATAGCTGGCTAAGCGACCTTGAGCGTCTTCATACGGCCAGGAGTGAAGGACCACATCTCAATTCCACAAGTCATCGCTGGCAACACGCACTGGTTCGTCGCCACGCCACAGTCTCGTTTTCAGGTTTTGAGGTATAGCTGACGAGAAGATGTGTCGTATTTTCCCGAACGCTGCCCAGCCGAGTTGAATCCGTCGATTAACCTCTCGGCCGAAGTTGGACTATTTGTCGCAGGTAAACATATTCGTCAACAACTTTGAGCTTAGTACTCCGAACAACCACTGGCATAAATGCGACATCGACATTAAACATAATCTTTGTTTCATCCATGTTCATCTTAAGACCTATCCGTTGGGAGACACTATTGAGGCCATTGAGCATAGTGCTTAGGTCCTCTAGCAATTCTGCCATAAGGTCTATATCGTCGGCAAATCGAAGGTGTATGATGTACTCACCATTGATGTTAATACCGTTCCTTTCCAGTCCAGCAGCTAGAAAACGTCCTGGAAAACGGCTGGAAGTCGTCGAGTCTGCGTGCGAGACCGATTTGTAATGACTCGAAAACAGCACGTAGACTTTGCTCAGAAGGGAAATTGGTCTGTAGTTCTTCAAGAGCGTTTGTCAACTTTCTTGAAGACCAACACCACCGCACTTCTGCTCCACGTCTCCAGAGTAGCGCCACCATGGAAGACAGAATTAAAGAGCTTCTGAAGGACTTCAAGTACCGGTTTTCCACCCGCTTTCAGAAGCTTTGCTGTAATCCATCCTCGATCGGGGATTTGCCGTTTTTAAGGTGCTGGAAAGCCATTCTCATCTCACTCAGACTGATGTCCAGAATATCATCAGAATAGTGTCAGGTAAAAATTGCTCTTGGATCATTACTTACAATTGCGTGTAACTCCAACAATGACGTATAAAACTGCCCATAGAACCTCTCAATCTCACTCAAAATCTCAGATGTCCCGCACGCGATGCTGCCACACTCGGTCTTCAGCTTCCACAGTTGGCTCTTTCTGGCAGACAGATCTCTGGCAAAGACTTTGGAGCCATGGTCCCGGTTCCGCTCTATCGCTTCTTCAATACGAGGCAGTATTAAAGTTGCCTAAGTCCCGCACCATGCATTTGGAGATTTGTCTGTTCAGTTGCCTGTATGCCGTCAAATCTGTAGAAGACTTTCATTTCCCGTCTAACAGCCACGAGATTAAGTGTGTGATCGGAGAGTTTTTGTGTTCTTCTGCGGCGTGTCTAGCAGAACTTAGCATTAACAGCTTCCATGAGCTAGTCATTCATATCGTCCACTGTATTGCCGTCTTCTAGGCACTGAAAATGGTTTTGTAATTGAAGCTGAGTTTTCGGGACCCTGAATTAGCGCACAAGGGGGACGGATCGTTGACTTCATTAGACGACACCTCTTCAACTTAACGTTTAGGTTCAGTGTGCCTCTAACCATTCGGTGACGGCTGCCAGTTTTCAACCTCGGGATCACTGAGACATTCCTGAACAGTTGGCGTCCGGTCAGCAATCGCAGTTTTTCATTGTATAATTGCTATTATCAGGAAGATGCTGCTGCCCATCTCCTGCCTGTCTCCATCTGTCACCTCTTACGACACCCACGGGAAAACATGGGGTAGTAGATATTCTCAACCAACAACAACGCCACTACACGGCATAATGACAATAATTAATGAGTCTTAATTAGCAACTGAGTAATTAGACCGCTTTTTGTGAGATAAACATCTGTATCATTAATTGTACTCTGTCAACATTAATTGTACCTTGATTTGAACCTACACATTGCTTAAGTCAACTCAGAACACTAAAAGTAAAAACATTTGTCAAATAAGTAATTGTTATAACTCACCTTGCCATCACCCTTAGGATTAATGAACACAACATAATGCCCGCCGTGATTATCGCCAGAATGTACAAGAACTGCATGCAATGTATAATCAGCTGGAATTTCAGGTTTCTCTTGCAAGTATGCATCTAAATTAATGTGCTCATAGAACTCAAACCTGTAAATGAAAATAAATAGAAAATTTAAGTTATATACAACAAAAATTTTATTTTGAAGAAACTTTATTATAAATGTAAGAATATATTTGCTCAGGGTATTTAGCGTCTGTTAACAGGGAAAGTAAATCCATCACCAGATCATATGTTTCCAGTGCCATAATGTGTCACTAAAAGAAATTGAAGCATAGTTTTATTATGATGGCAAAATATCCATTGCAAGTTAAGGAGACTTACCACGTAGTGGCGGTAAGAATATCCACTACTCATCATTTTGTGGTAGTCGTAAGAACCAACAGAGGGATACAAATCAGAAGATGGGCAGCAGCGTCTTCCTAATGTCTTTAAAAAAATGCAGTTGCCAACAATATTTCCAAGCGTGGCAAATATTGCAAATATTCCTCCTGTGCGGCAATCTATGATAGAGGCCTATGTTCAGTAGTAGACTTTAATAGGCTGTAACCAGATTTAAATATATATATATATATATATATATATATTGACATTACATTGGACATTGGGAACATTTACATACAAAAATTTTTGCAGTTGCTGTAAACGGTTTTGTAACTTGAGCTGAAAGGTTTCGGGACTTTGGATTAGAGCCAAAGGGGGACGGACCGTTGACTTCATTAGACGAGACCTCTCTAGCTTAACGTTAGGTTCAGTATGCCTCTAACCATTCAGTGATCGCTGCCAGTTTTGACATTAGCGAGCACTGGGACATCACTGAACAGTTAGTGTCTGTTTGTCATAATGAAGTCGATCTCATTTATACTATACTTGCAATAATAAACCGAAATCGCATTCAGTATTTGCTCCGTATTGGTACTTAAAATACCTTAATGCACAATCCGGCATATTTTCTTTAAAAAATAGTTTTTATATTTAGGAAACGAATCCATCTTGACCTTATGACAATGTCACTAAGACTAAATGACATAAATCCGAAATATATATATCCTATAGTACTACAGTAGAGCGTCGATTATCCGAATTAATTGGGGGACATAGGTGTTCGGAAAACCGGTTTGTTCGGATAATCGAACTGTGTAATTGTACATACCAATATACTAATAAAAACATATTTATAAAATGTAATATAAATTTAATTTATGACAGTTGTAATAGAGCAGTGATACAATTATTTTTTGTGATGCAAGAGTTTTTCTTGGCAAACCCTTCCAATTGAGTCAAGTTTCGTCAGAATTGTAAACGTTTCCTAAAACATAATTTTCTTGTTTCAATACGTCGCTTAATTTGATTTTGAAAGAATCAGCTGCTGAAGAACCAGCAGAAAGTTTTTCTCCTTGTAATTGAAGCTCACGAATGCCCTGTCTTGACTTAAACCGTTTTAACCAGCCCGTGCTTGCTTGAAAGTTCAACGGTCCTCCAAGTTTATCATTTAATGTTTTGCCTTTTCACATAGAACGGCATCAAAGATAGGTTCTCCTTGCGATTTTTTTTGTGTAAATCGCTTGTAAACAGCGTCATCGAGATCGGTGTTCGTGGTGAGCTTCATAGTTTTACGACTTGTCGACCCATTAGTAAAATCATGCCTGGATATAAAATTGGATATGGTCTTTTGGTTTTTTATATCCGTAATTGTCAGCTTAACCACTTTGTACTTCTTAGATAAATTGGTTGCAGATTCGCCTTTCTCTAATCGTTTGTTAATCTCGTATTTATATTTTATCGGTACGGAATGTGGGCCAACACGGGACACTGCGCGGAGAAGCGAGAAGGTGGTCGCATCCCAATGAGGTGCCGAGGACCGAGGTAGCAGTTCGGTTAAGCGGCCGTTCGGTTAATCGACGTTCGGATAATCGACGTTCTACTATACTACTGTGTCTTTGGCTGTAACAGTAAATAATAGAGTTGTCATAATATTCATTCTAGTGATAAAAGTTACAGCCTATATACGTCCCACTGCACAGGCCTCCTCTCATTTCTGGGACGGTTTTAGGCAAGGAATAGTCCGCGGATGTTTCGATGTTCCTCACGATGTTTTCCTTCACCACCGAGCACGTGGTAAATCAGCACTTAAAATTGCAATTAACAATTTCGTTAGTGCCGGCGGGGATCGTCCCGGTTTGCTCGCGTATTGTGAAATTTACAGCAAGCGCTAACCATCTGAGCTACCATGGCTCTTTCTATTCTAGTAATAATTGACAGATTATTATGGCAAATTCTTTGAGGTAAGGAGAGAGCAACCTAACAGCCATTTGTTAGTAGATTATTTAAGAGTTTACTTTTTTTGTCACTTCTACCACTTGTAAAGATTTTTGAGAATATAAATTATAGTTCTTTTGAATATATACTTACAAATCAAGTAATATACAATGAATATTAGTTGAAATCCTTACCTATCATTAAACTTTACAGAACTGTCGGTGATTGGGTCATACTGGAACCTCATAAGGTGTAAATGAAGTACTGGTGGAAAAGATGCAAATATAACACCTTTTTCAGCTTCCTGCAACCCATGCTCACCAGCGTCATACTTGTTCTCACCGTCCAATGTCTCAGTACTAATGTAATCTTTGAATGATTCATCAACTGTAACCAAGATTTTGGTTTTCAATACACTAAATAATGGTTACATAAATAACTAATTCACAATCATATATTTACAAAGTTATTTTGGTTAAAAATATATATCTGGCATCATTTAAAAACAATATTACTCATTAAAAAGGGCTTACGAGTCGATTAAAACTCAGGCCCACAAGTTTTATGGTAGATTTTGATATGTACCTAGAAGATACAATCGGCAAATACAAAAATAACTGGACGATATCATAAAGGTTGAAATTGGCCATGAGGCAATACAAAATTAAGTTATCTAAATTTTATTTATTAGACTTAGATTTTTACATTTAAGAAAACAATACACTACTTTGATTTACAAACTAATACCCCAATAAACTTACATTTCAAAAAGGAAAACCTAAACAAGATATAAATGTCAAGATCAAACAACACTATATAACAACTTTGGATACACACAACTACATTAATATGCAACTTTATGGTTTTGCCATACTCACTGTTTTTCTTTCCCTTTATATTCAGCTGTATATCATAGAAAGTTTCCACGCGTGTGCTGGACACATTCACATTCTTGCACTTGATATAAGAAGTCATTTTACCCTCAAATAGACGTGGTACCGTTCCTTCCACACATGTACCCTTCATTTTACTCTCCAGTTTATCCAAAAGTACCTATAACACAGATTTCATCATTAACAAATGAGCCACGAAAAAGTCTAATATAAAAGTGCTAAATAAGAGCTCTTTCTACAATGTTTTGGTGAATATAAAAACAGAAAGTATGCTATAGAAGTATGTAAAATATGGAGTAATTTACTTTAAATGTTTTAAAGATAATTATTAAAAAAATTAAATTCATTAAAAAAAGCATTGAGAACAATAATTTAAAGAAAGTGGAATCTTTCTCTTTTGGCGCAAATAAATATTATTATTTGAGAAAAAATTTTGCCAATTTTGATTAAAAATAAAATATGCGTCATAATTTTTATCTCGCTAACATATACTTAAAAATTTAAGTATATATTTAAAGCATCAAATTTTTCCAATGCCTGCCACCTCTAAATCATTAAGCATAATATGTAATCGTACCTCTCTTCCCTTTTAACATACTTATTAATGTGGAACCCATTATTAGTGAAGAAAATACGAAAAAAAAATTAGAAAGTTTATCTTACCCTCAAAAACTCCTGAACATCATGCTGCATAAAAGAATCAAGTGTCTCCCAACCAAAACTTTTGGTTAACTTCTTGGTGCCAACAGGCTTATCAGAAAATTGTAATTCATAGAATACTCTCTGTAGTGCCAATGCAACAGACCTACAATAATTATAACAATTTTAGCAAATATTAAAAGTAAGAAACCAGCCGTAATGGTTTTTATAAGAAATATTTAAATGTATTGTACCTTGTACTATCATCAGATTCTGTGGGCATTTTGTATACAGCTTTTCGCAATTGATTTGTAAAATAAAGTGTTTGTAACAACGAATTCATATAACATGTCGCACCCTGGTTTTTAAGACCTGAAAAAAGAATTTAATTTTAACAAAGTTAGGAAAGGGATAAGAAAATTTAATATTCATTATATTTAATAAAACAAGACATTAAATTTCATTAGACAAATCATCTTTGGCATCCATAGTGAAATATGCAGTTTTGAGCCATCTGCATCAATTGTCTTCCTGCATATTTCACAATGTCTACTCCTTATCATCCATGCAAGGTCTGCAACTCAAGAACCTTCCTTCTCCATTGGTTGTCAGTGGAATAAGTAATGTATTGGTGGCCTAAGATAATCCAGTATCCCATATCATTTCGCGGGTGTAGTAAGAGGCAAGAATAGAGAAATGAGACAGGAGATGGGCAGCAGCATCTTCTTGATCATCATCATCATGATCATAATCATCATTATTACAGCCCTTCACAAGTTCACTGCTGAACATAGGCCTCCCCCAAGGAATGCCACAAAGCACGGTCCCGAGCCACCTGCATCCATTGACTTTCTTCATGTCTTTTACCAGATCGTCACTCCATCTAGTGGGGGGCCGCCCCACAGTTCGCTTACTGGTATGAAGCTGCCACTCGAGAATCTTTCTTCCCCATCAGTTGTCGGTTCTTCCAGCTCTACGGCTGGCCCATTGCCATAGTGCTATGTCGGTTACTCTGGTTCTACTGTGGATATCCTCATTTCTAAGTTTATCATGCAGAGAAAACCCGAGCATAGCCCTCTCCATAGCTTGCTGGGCAACCTTTAACCATGTCTCAGATCCATAATTCATCACTGGCAGCACGCATTGGTTATACAATATTGTTTTCAAGTTTTGAGTTATACCTGACGAGAAGATGTGTTGTGATCTCCCGAATGCTGCCTAATTATTTTTTATAGGATAGGGTTTTGATTGTCTATATGTTTGTATGTCTCTATGTTTAATTGTTTGTCCTAGGTAAACAAACTCTCAACAACTTCGAGCTTAGTGTTCGCAACAACTAACGCTATAAGTGTGACATGGACATTAAACATTATCTTTGTTTTGTCCAAGTTCATCTTAAAACCTATTCATTGGGAAGCAGTTTTTGATAGTGCTTAATAATAAAAAAAATATTAAAATAATAAAACAAGTGGTTGCCAAACTATACACCAAGCACGACAAGTATGGCCAATATCCTCCCCTATGAGACAAAATAAGGGGAGGACTATGATCGGCAGTGGACTTTTGATGGGCTGTAAGGAAGTTACTTTAGTTAGTTTAGTTTACGACGGGCTGTTTTCCGCAACTCCACGTCTAAGCGCGTATTTTGCGTGTGGGCAGGAATAATGTAGTTATTCGAGCCATGATATTTCCCCGAAGAAGTTCAACAGTGTTGCAAGCAACTTCGGGGAGCGATCCCGGCGGCCGAGATATTTAGCCCTGTATGAAGCGACTTCTGGACATGTCAGCAACACGTGAGCCGCCGTTTCTTCCTCTCCCATGCATGCCCTGCACAGGTGGCTATCAGTAACAACTATGGTGAACAAATGTTTGTTAAAAGAGCCATGTCATGTGAGCACTTGTTACTATCCTGATCTGTGGCTTGTTTAGTCTCATTAGAACCTTGGTTAGACAACTGTTTATTTCAGGCATGGTGTCCCTAGCTTGGCTACAGTCTACAAAATTTTTCCAAAGCTGAGCGTGTAAATTATTGAAGTATCTATGTACCAGAGAACGAACGTAGCCAAAAGGGATTGGTATTATTGGTTCTGCCCTATAGTTGCCAGAGCAGATCCCCTTCTGGCCAGTTCATCTGCTGCATTGTTGCCTCTAGATCCACTGTGTCCCTTGATCCATTGCAGAGTCACATTATTGTGCTTACATACCTCATTCAATCATTGATGGCACTTGTATATCAGTCCCGAGTTCGTCACATTGCAACTCAGAGCTTGTAGTATCGCCATACTGTCGGTCAGTATTCTGATGGAGAAGTCTTTCACCTTCCTAGCATCTATTGCTATGGCCGCTTGGATGATATCCATGCATTCAGCCTGGAAGACTATGTTGTGGGTACCCAGCGGTGTGCATATGTGGATATTAAGGTCTTCAGAGAAAGCCCCAGACCCCACACCTTCATTTGTCTTGGAACCATCCGTGAAAACTTTGAGCTCTCTTGGACCCAATCCCAATTCATCAAAATTCTATCAATTATATCTGTATGGGGGACTCTACTCTTACTTAAACGATTTAGGGTCTTGAGTCTAATGGCAGCTAAAGTTGCTTCTTGTTGGAAATGTAGATGAAGCGGTGTTAGCTCCAGCATAGCCTCCAAAGCTGCTGTTAGTGTAGTCCTTATGCAGCCCATGGCAGCAATACAAGCCAATCTCTGGTAACCCTGAAGCTTTCATATAGTAGTGGCTTCATTGGTTTTGATCCACCATACCAGAGAGCCATATGTGATCATGGGCCAAATTACAGTTTTGTACAGCCACAGTATAATATTTGGTGTCAAACCCCATCGTTTGCCAATCATGTTTCTGCATTGCCAGAAAGTTAAACTAGCTTTGATGATTTTGTTTTCTATGTGTTTATTCCAGTTAAGTTTACTGTCCTAGGTATTTTACTTCGGAGGAAAGCTGGAGTTTTGTGCTGAAAAGACTTTGAAGATGATGGACTGAGATGTTTGATGTCCCAATCTCATTGTTAGCCCGGCTACCTTCAGTTTTTGAATATTAATTTTTGGTCCGATTTACGCAAAACGAAGTTACAGTATCTTGAAGTCTTGCAGTGATATGCTTGGGTTTGGGTTTAATTTTGTTAATTATAGGATCCCAAGCAGATGGCAGCACCCAACAATCTTCTCTATTGAAATTAGGATGTTTTTTAATTTCAATAGCCTCGCGTATCATCCTTGGTAGGAATCGGTGTTCTTTTGCGAGGATTTGTGGTTTATCAAATCTGATGTAATGGTGGGTCATATTCCCTGCACCATTTCTCCATCCTCCATCCACAATACGGAGAGCCGCTTGGGTCAGGTCGCACACAATGTTTGCTGTCTTACCACAGACCAGTATTGTCAGATCATCTGCATAACTGACTGTGTAGAAATGGTTAGCGTTTAATTAGCTGATGAGTTCATTTATGACCATATTCCACAGGAGAGGTGAAAGAACCCCACCCTGCGGGCATCCTTTCATGATCTGAATTGTCTGAGATTCACCAATCTTTATTGTTCGTGTACTGAGCATGTTTACTATCCAGTCAATCAGTGCTGGTTCAACATTATGTCTACTTAGGGCATCTTTTATGCTGGAGAAATTTGTTCTGTCAAAAGCACCTTCTATGTCTATGAAGGAGCCTAGACATATTACTTTATTTTGGATGGCCTCTTCAATCTTTGTTATTAAATGGTGAAGTGCCGATTCTGTCGATTTACCTAAGCTATAAGCGTGTTGTTTTTCGTGTAGCACTAAGTTAATTAGCGCCGACCCTCTCAACTCCCGTTCACACATCCTCTCCATCGTCTTTAGGAGAAAGGATATGAAGCTAATGGGTCTGTAGGATTTAGGGTCTGTATAGTCATTCTTACCTGGTTTGTGTATGAACCTAACTTTCACTTCTCTCCATCCCCTAGGAACATATTTAAGAGCCAGACATGCTCTCATTATGGCAACAAGTCTGAATATTAGTACTTTACCGCCCCCCCCCCCCACTTTATAAGTAGCGGGAATAAGCTGTCAGGTCCTGCTGTCTTATAGGGTTGGAAACTATGAATGGCCCAATGGATTTTGTCCATCGTCACCACTCACACACGGCTGTAAGGAATAAATAAATTCAAATATTACAAATGAATAATGAATTAAAACTTACCAACATAACCAGTATGTTTCTTAGAATCCCAAGATACTCCATGTGGTGCTTCAGCAGTAACATGCACCTCAAGAGTAATAGAATCATCCTTGATGTAACCTTTCTCAGGATCCAGTACATCATTCCATGACATAAAGTGAGAAAAACCCCAATCGTTTTCCTTACTAAAATGTACAAAATATACAAATTGAAACTCCAAATAAATTCAAAATGTTTCACTTAAACTAAAAATATGTAACAGCTGTCTTATCTACTTATTAAATAATAGTCTTTCCTTGATAACATTCTTTAAAAAACAAATTAGAGGAATTTGTTGAATAAAACTAAATTTACAGATTTTATCGCGTTTATTTCACTACTTTTACTTATTTTTAATTCCCGACGTTTCGGGTGCTTTACAGCAACCATGGTCACGGGGGGGACTGAGATGTGTGACGTAGAGGAATTTGTGTTTACAAGACTTAATAATATTTATAATTCTATGTGTTCATTTCTGTAAGTTACCTGTCTTATACAATATAAATTTGTCTACATTTCACCTTTTATTATTGTAATAACTAATTGAGTAACAATTATCAAATAAATAATTCAACAAATACAAAAGTTAATTTTATTGACCTTGATAAAATAGGTGGCTTGATAGTCTGCAAAATAAAGGAGAAAATCCCAGAGGGTATTTTCATCGGGACCTAGAGCTCCCTACAATTCAACCATTTCTTAAAAACTCTCTGAGAACTTCTTCAAAGCTTCAGAGTCGCACTCCAATCATCTTATTCGTGAGGCAGCTACTTACGCAGCCCTACCCCCCTCTCGCTATCGCGTCCGCAGGCCGAGAAACTCTCACTCGGACCCGCCTAATAAACTGTCAAACGACCTGAACTGCTTCCTGGCGGCTCAGGCCAACTCTAATTAAATTATTCATAATTAATTTGTCTTCGTAGGCATTCCCTCAGCGGCTCGTAGCCGCCTGCGCCCTCTTTTCCCAAAAGAGGGTCGCTTCCGATACGGCATAAGAAGCTTAAACAGCTGGTTGTCAGTCCCCAAAGGCGGTTTTTAGAGGGTATCACTTAGGTTCCCCCGGTAGGCAGTGAGTCTCTCATAACCACGATAGACCGGCTGTCGTGGTATGCGTAATGCATTTTCCGCCTCCCTACATAAAGGGAAGCCCTTTCCAATTGCTTCGGGCGCAAAAAAAAGGGTATTTTTTATGATGTGCGAGCAGCTATGCAGGTCTAGGGAAAGAGACCAGTATCACTGCAACCTAAAAGATCTATTGTGATCGCTGCTGCTATCCCAGAAGGTAATGTTTTAAACAAACAAGAAAAGATAACCCGTAACAACAAAGAAAAACAAACCTGTAAAACAAATGTTGAATTTTTCTAGAGAAGGGCTCAGTGTCTGGTTTCTGAGAAAGAAGTCTCAGTTCTGCCATAGCATAACATGACCAGCTAGAAGATTCACTCTCTCCGTTACATTGAAGGAAGAAACCTAGAGACTTCTGCTGCTGACGGTCTGGGGATGGTGCTTGTCGAGGCATTACCATAATCTTCCATGGTAGGTTGCGGACAAAACATGGTGGTGAAAGTACAGAATCCTTTAAGCTTCTGAAATTGTGCACTGTAAAGCGAAAGGTTGCTTCTGACCTCGCTTCATCGTCTTCCATTTCAGCATCAACGCAAGCCAGCTGGTGAACAAAAAATAATTTTTGTTAAAAATAATCCCACACAAACAAGGTTCACGTTGAGCTTGACAACTTTGAGTACAAAGTAATGCACTCAGTCTTTCTTTCAAGGATTTAAGATTACTAGGATAATTCCAGGCACTTAATTTTACCCCTGAGGGTATCAGTCATACAAACTGAAATAGAAATAAATATAGTCAAATAAAAAAAAATTTTACATTTAGTAAAGTAACTAAAAAATAAAAATATTCCAGGCCGTTTTAGTCCGCAGCATGACCAAACCTCATGTAGTATGATTTGTTACAAGTTGGCAGTATGTACATTTGTCTGCAGTATTGCAAGTGTGCAGTGTTACTTACAATCAAGAAGGTTGCATACTACTTGGATCACGTGCAATTTTATTATATTAGTAGTTTTATTAGTTATAAACTAAATCTAGTCATACAAACTGTAAATTCCTCACATTTACTATAAAACTAAATATGATACAAAAAAGGTATTTATTATATCATAAACAGACATCCTTTTTGTATTTTATGATTGGTTACTGGAGATATTGTAGCAAATTATAACAATAGTTAATTGCTACATTGATTAAAAATATAACAAGCTTTAGAAAATAAAACTGTGTTCAATATATTTCTGGAAATATTTACTCCAATATTTGTGTCCAATCATTGGCATGGAGGAATTTAAAAACTTCACATTACCATTAAATCATAATGTGTCCATCATAGTAATAGAATCAAACTGAATATCTCTTTTGATTATCTCCTAATTACATTAAAATAAAACATTTATGACACTTGATACAATAAAGCACCACACAGTGTAAGCCACTTAATACACTAACATCCATTACATGACCAGGTACAATAAATCAATAAACACATTATCCAATTGAAGCATAGTTATAAATAGATAGTATAATGATGAACAATATACTTTTTAATAATTGAAAAACTTTGTTTTCAATGTTTTTTATTATAATATATTAATTTTAAGCAATAAACAGTACTAATTTTCAACCTATTATCTTCACTTGATGATGATAATGGTGGAAATTCTCTGATCTTTCATGAAAAGTAAACTAAGAGTTTTATTGCAATAGGTATGTAGTAATTTTATCACCTTATTTTTTATATAGTAACTAACAAATTAAAAAACAGTATCAATCCTTACTCAGAAAGCATTCACAAGGAAGAAAGGTCGTTCTCAGGATGTATATGAATCAAAGTTCATAAATGCATATGTTGTGACTAAATTGTAGAATTGATCACTTCGTGAAATGTTTTGAGTATTTCATGAAATACTTACATTTCATGAATGTTACATTGTCAGTTGGCCACATCATGAAATGTTTTGGCCAGATTAATAAGAAATTGTTTGTCTATACGATCAATTCAATATGTGACTATTTCATGAAATGGCCAACCTCATATCGTGAAATAGTTACATTTTCTACCGCTAGAGGCGCTGATTGTGCTTAGTTTTGTGTTAAATGTGGTGGCCACTGTCAATTAAGTCATTTTGTGCAGTAAGCAAACTAAAAATTCTCTTTCAAATGTGGATGTAAATACAAGTAAAAGACTTCACAATGAAAAAGTACTTGAGTACTATTTGAGTAAAGCATGTACCACACAAAATTTAAACAAGAAATGAAATGTTCAAACATTTCATGAAGTGGCCAATTCTACGATTTGGCCATGACACATACACAATCATTTTAAAAAGTTCAAGTTTCTCTGTCCAAAAAGAGGAAAACGCGGGATAAAAAATGTCGGAATTTTTGGGATATTTACAGTTGTCCTGTAAAATATCCCAAAGACACATAAAACTTTACTTCCTAAGGGTGAAAATTTGAAATTTAGCATTTTATATTAAACATATTCTAATCATTGAAGACATTCAGAACAAAATTCTGTACAGTATGCATTGTATATTAAATGTTTTCAAAATTGTTTATCCTAAAAATAACTTTTTGATAATATTACATACTAATATAAAAATTAAGAAAAACCATCTACAATTGTATTCCTTTAATTAATAAGGTTTGACATAGTATACCCACTAGAGTGCACCACTGTAATCCTTGTCAACTTTTTGCAGCAGCTCCCTGCCACACAAATTCCAAACATTCTACTCTGTATTGAATTATTTAGCCTTACAGTATCAACATTAATTCCATATATATTGAGGCATCACATCCTAGTACAAACATTTTAAAAGAAAATTCTTGGATTGTTTTTTGTATAATTATGAGGGCTGCACTAAAAGTATTGGGAATGGAATACTTCCACTGTTCCTGTCATATTAAAATCTTTTTAATTGAAAACTCCTTGGTTATAAAAATCAAATACCATTTATTTATTTAAAAAAAGATTCTCGGTCTTGTCACAAGGTTTTGTAAAACTTGTTTAGTCGTTGAGAAAATGGAATTGGCTCGAGAAAATTCAAGAGTGATGATTTATTATGACTTTCGAAGTGGTTTAACACAGAAACAGTGTGTTGACCGGATGATTTCAGCAATTGGTGATGAAGCCCCATCCAAAACCACAATTTATCGCTGGTTTATTGAATTTCATTTTCAACATGGACGTGTCAAGCTCAGTGATGATCCCCGTCAAGGTCGTCCAAAAACTGCAGTCACCCAAGAAAACGTTGATGCTGTGCGTAACCTCATTGAGGAAGATCGACATGTGACATACCACGAAATTCAGGCAACTTTAGACATTGGCATGTATCAAATACAAATAATCTTGCATGAACAATTAGGTGTAAAAAAGTTGTTTTCCCGATGGATACTGCATTCGCTCTGTGAAGAGCAAAAAGCGGCTCGCGTTACTTGGTGCATCAGAACTCTCGAATGATTCCATGCAGGATCCTCAAATGCTGTATACAACATCGTATCAGGTGACGAATCCTGGATATACGCGTATGAACCCGAAACAAAAAACCAGACACGAGTTTGGGTGTTCGAAAATGAGTTAAAGCCAACAAAAATTGTTTGTTCACGGAGTGTTGCAAAAAAAAATGGTGGCCACGTTTGTCTCCAAAACCGGCCATGTTACGACTATTCCTCTTAAGGGACAGCAGAGGGTTAATGCAGAATGGTATGCAGCATTTGTTTGCCACAGGTCGTTTCTGAACTCTGTAAAGAGAACTCTGCAACCGCCGCATCATCCTCCATCACGACAATGAGCGTTCTCACACCGCACACAGAACAAGAGTTTTTAGAGCAAGAAAACATAGAATTATTAGACCATCCGCCTTACAGCCCCGACCTAAGCCCTAATGATTTCTATACTTTCTCTAAAATAAAGAATAAATTGCGTGGACAGAAATTTCATCACCTGAAGAAGCTGTGGACGCCTACAAAACGGCCATTTTGGAGACCCCAACTTCCGAATGGAATGGTTGCTTCAATGATTGGTTCCATTGTATGGAAAAATGTGTCAAATTTCATGAAAAATACTTCGAAAAGCAATAAATAGTAGTGTTGTATCACTTTCTTGATTCCCGAAATTTTCATTGCCGCCCTCATACATTACCTTTCTCTCTATCATATTATTATTGTTAATCAAAAGGTTGTGTAGCATACCATAATTTTAATCAATTATAACATGCTATTGTTTATTTAGCCCAATAAATTATTACTATTTCTTTAATAAACTTTACATTGACTCTTTCTATTTTTTCCTTATGTGTATCTTTAACCAGAAATTATAGCACTGTGATTACTATTCCCACAATAAATCACATAGAATTTGTTATGAAATGTAACAAAAGAATATCATAGAATAGTTTTCTTTTTATATCACTTAACAACTTAGCAGTTTCCTCAATATCACCATTTTTGCAAACATCGGCAAACATTTCTCCATGACAGTATACAAGTTTATGGGTATCTTGAATGATAGTTCAGTCAATTCCAAGGGTTAAGGAGTGGTTTTTAAATCATCAGATAAGTTATTAATAAGATGAAATAAAACATAAACAAAATAAAAATTACAGTTGTAAGTTCAATTGTTTCACTTTTATATTCGATCAGGTTATTATTTAGTTCATGGTTTACTTTTATTTGATGATTGAAAAATTAGGCCCAATATATATTTTTTTACTTTTACAGAATTAGTTTACTTAAATGTTAGAGAATCAATAACTATTGTATTCAAGTGAAGCTCACCGGCATATCAGTAGATGTTGTCTCTTGATTCTTCATGACTTCACCCATTACAACCTCACCATTAGATTCTTTAATAAAATCTTCATCCCAAATCTTTTCAGTAGCTGTGTCTACAGTCTCCACTGAAACATTCATATTTTTAATTTTATTTCTCTTGGAGTTTAATTTAACTTACATGATTTAATGTAATTAACTGATAAATTAAACACAATAAATTAGGGACTAACTACTTAGGAAACAAATTAACTATTGTTTTTATGACATTCTGAAATTATGTGACATCATGGCAGAAACACTTTTAAAAATGACATATGACTTATATAGGCACTGTAACATAAAAACACAAAAAATATATCTTGCTTTGGCAGTGATTGGCATATTTTTGGTATTATAAAAGTTATTAGTCTGCATTGCAGCAGTTATAAAAAAATAACAAAGGAGCTGTTACAGTTATTTTGTTAACTATAACTGCTGCAACCTGCAATGATAATTACCTGCAGACCTGGTACAATGAAAAAACTTTATCTAAAAATGTTTATCTAACTTGTAAGCTATATAATGATCTATGAAACCATCCATATCAGGATATATAAAGTGACACCATCTAATGAATAAAATATAAAATGTAATAAAAAGAACAAACAAGAAATAATTACAAGAAACACAAGAAGAAACTAAATTAATAAATTATACATAAAAATAAATCATTATATTTATTTTATATATATTTTTATTTTATAAATCCTTCAGATAGAAAAATAAGTTTTCTTGAAGATAGTTTCATGCATTTAACACTTACTACAGATATACAGATTTAAATTTCAAATACTAAATAAATGCAACTGTAATTAAAAAATACTAATAAAGTGCATATATAAAATATACTATAAAAGTAAAATCAAATCAGAAACACTATGATACCTTTTAATGATACTTGTATAAAAAAATATGGCCACATTTTTAATTATTATCAAAAACAAAGCTTCCTAAATTCATATGATATATTGTAGGACAAGCTTTATAATCTTAACAAAGGAAGTGTAAGAACCAACTTTTTTCATTATAAAGGAAATTTTATTATTTCTTGAAAGCTAGAAATGTAAGTGTGAAATCTACAGAAAATAACATAGTGAACAAAATTGGGAATATAATACATACATTTTTATCTATATATTATTATGAATTTTAATTTAAATAAAAAATGATGTGAAATGATCATCAGATCATTTCTTTTTTGATGCAATTCTCAAATAACAATTGTCATACACACAACTTAGAATAGAAACTCCATTAATTAAATTTAGCAGAACAAATCACATCATGACAAAATTATTATAACAACTAACCTTCTTGTGTCTCCATCTCCTCTACCTGATTAACATTGGAGTCTTTCTGTTGCCTGTCCGGGGCAGGCGTGTGATTCATGTTAGCCGGGCGCGCCACCGGAGACTGTCGCCCACAAGTCTTCGAAATTTCCTGAACAATTAGTATCCACCATACAAATTGCGAAACACATTTTTAAGTTGAATAACTTCCGATGTCTGATAATTTGCACAGGACCTACCTTTAACGCTAGAGGTTCACTCCCTTTACCTCTGCTAAATATTCGTTGAACAAACTTCAAAGTACCTTTCTCATTGATTCGGATGCTCTGTGAACCCGAGATTTTGTTGTTATTTGAGGACAAGGTGTTAATTTTAAAAGAGTGTTTACTAGCGGCACGGCCGATGTCTGCAAATTTCAACAAAAGGGCCCGACAATAATGTACGCTAATAGCACATTCCTATTGTAATAATCATTGCCAGTTATACTTAATTGCAGTATCATAAGACAGGGTAACCAAATATCACTCTAGCTTCAAGGTGAAAAAGAATTTTCACGAAAATAAACAAAATGGTGGATGTCTAATTTAATTTCTAGCTTCAAATGTGTGGCCCGGTTTGATCGACGAATACACCATTTTATCATTCTCTCACATTCACCGTAGGGAAGTGCCAAGCTGCCAAGATTATTCATTTAGTTTTATCGGTTTTTAATATTTTCTTCATTATTAATATCGTTATTTACATAACATTGAAATAAAAATAATATGAAACTGAAAAAAACAAAAACTAAAAACTTAAATTATCATACAGTCTAACTCCTAAATGGGCCAAATTAAGAGTACCCTTAACCGACGAGCACGTATGCGTAGGTAGGCATGTCGATCATAAATCGATTAATCGAAAAATCGATTTTATCGATTGCAAAATAATCGATCTTTTAGATCGATTCCGAGCACCGCATCGATTCACTGAATCGATCCAAAAACCTCTCGAATCGGACTGATTCATCTGATTCAAGAACTAGCGATAAAATTCCCAAACTGACTGGGTCAGATTTCGCAGTTTTTTAATTTTTTGCTGTTGGGGGACGCAAAAACAAACGGTCGTACTTGGTTGATAATTTGAACTCAATATATATTTGAATAAAATAAATATTTATGAACGCATCCAACAATATCGAAAAGTTGTCATTTCATTTTCATTTCTAAAATTCTAATTCTAATCTTACCTGTGGAATGTCTAACTTAATCTGTGCTGTGAACAAAGACTACATATACATACTACAATATAATATTATAGCTTTGAACCTGTTTGTACTGTGAACTTGTGAATTTACTTTATTTATTATCAAAAACATATATACTGTGAGCTGTAAGTACAGACAGAGTACTTCTTAAATACCTAGATACTGTAAATAAATATTATATGTTGAAGTTTATAGAGGTTTATAGTAAGGAAATAACTAGTATTGTGTTCGTGTAGCATTCACTTCAATTTGATAAATAGTGAGTTATTAGATTGAAACAGATTTATCGAGAAATGTACGTTGCAGTTTGAACTTTTGTTAAAGTATTGTTGTTGTTTCTAGCCTAAAATGTCATATAAAAGTGATACATGGAATCACTTTGTAAAAAAAGGATCGAGTGGCTTGGTTTGCACATAAACCACTACTAACACAAGCGTTTCAAGCTTACCAGGAGTGGTTAAAAGGAATATTAATAATGTTAATTATTAAGATTACTAATATTTTATTAAAAAAATATTAAATAAAATATTAGTAATCTTAATAAATAAAAATCGCAAATTCTTGAAATTTCATGTTTGAAAATGTCGCGATTAATCGAAAATCGATATTTTAGTCCTCGATTTAATCGATAATCGATTCTAGTGTTTTCGATTTAAATCGATTCAGAGATCGATTTTTTTAAGAGTGAATCGACATGCCTATGCGTAGGTATATGGATGTGGAAGAGGCGAGAAAGTAATGTCAGGATCGTGCTAAATGAAAGTCTGTAGTCTCTGCCTACCCCTCTGGGTGACAGGCGTGAGTGTTTATGTTATGTTATGTCTAACACCTCATGGTATCGCGCCGAGAACGCTGGCTGCGTTTCCTCGGTAAACGGCTATACTTAGCTTTGAGTGAGAAAAGAACCAGCCCTCTTATCGCCAGCTACGACCACCAGTCGCGAATACAGTTTCTTTAGGAACTTCACCACACGCGGACCCTACAGAGCTATAATCCCTACAGGAAATGGCACAAATATGTAGCAATCTCTCAGACAGTCATATTTACGTTACTTAATTACCGGTTTTTTGCTGGTGTAAGGCATCCAATAGACGATCAATTAACTCTGTGCAATATTAATGACAGTATAGGGTTAATATTGAAGATTACCGCATTGATTGAACGAAAGTTTGGGTGAGTTTAATGTTTATTACACCATATTTTTCCATTACATCTTGTAGGGTCAATATTAAGCAATATTTTTTAGTTCGTGTTTCGTCTTGACGAAGAGAAAACGCGCGCTCGCAAACTATACTCTATTCCAATTACGAAGTCCCTTTTGACACTTCTTAGAACTTCTTAACTCTTCACGTTTCGCATAATTTGAAATAATAATCATTTTTTGTTCATGGTCGTAAATCATCATTTAAAAATACACAATCAACCTAAATCATTATACAATTAATTCACACACACAATCAACATATTGTTTTCAGACATTATGCTCAAAATAATTAAAACTTTAAGAGATAATAATATTTTACTGCCGTTTTGCGTTTACGTTCTATAGTTTTATTTTTACTTTTTTACATAGTGACGTGACTAAAAGAATCGTATAAAATCGATTATAGACAGATTCTTTTCGCGAATGAAAATCTGTCAACAGTGCGTCCACCTCATGATCACGACCGCCATTTGGTTTGTCTCTTCAGTATGAGTGCAGAAGCCTTGTATACGATACGCGTGTTCAGTTTAGTTGATTTTGCGTTGTGTTTTTATTTCATTCTTGTTGTTGTAGTTATAACAGTTTGATAATTCTTTCGTTGTTATTAAGTTTTGACTGTTATTTGATTTGTTTTTTTTTTGTATTTATAAACACTATGGCCGAAACTTAGACCACTAAAAGAACAGTGATGTACAGTCAAGCGCGAAGTTTGTAGTACGCTTACAAGATTACTTTGAAAGAGAGTTTCAGAATGGTGGTCCATTGTAACCACTTTCACAAGTGACTAACCGAGTAAGAGCAGCACTTGGTATTAGTCGAAAAACTATTTCCCGAATAAGTAAGGAAAAACATGGTAAAGATTTAATGGAAGATAACATATTAAAATCGCCACTTAAGAAAAAAGTTAGAAGATCGATAGTTACACATATCGATAATTTTGATAACGACGCCATTAGAAACCATATCTATGGCTACTATAGTACTTGATTATTGACATCTGTCAAATGGGATTTCGTAATTGGAATAGAGTATAGGTGGAAAAAGAGAATTTGAAAGATACGAAATAGGTGTTTATCGTCGAAAGTATCCAATTGTACAGAGAATTGCCGTCTCTGTGAAATATCAAGAAAAAGAATATCATGACCGTGATAAAAAAAAACGCTGCTTACGAAACATTTTTGTCTCGATACAAAGAGATGCTTCCACAGCGAAGCACAGATGATTTGAGGAATAAATTCAATTCTTTGAGAACTAACTACTGGAAGGAGCTCAAGAAACACCTCGGGTTGATGAAATCCGGATCTAGTACAGATGACATATACCAACCTACTTTATGATATTATAATGAAATGTTTTTTTTAAAGATCAGGAATCTGCATTGGATTCACAGTTTAGTAGGGATAATTTATCAATTATACGTAATCAATTAAAATCAGTCAATTCTACGTATTCCGAGAGGAGAGAGTGAACGTTCTAGTTTGTAATATAATTAATAATTTTACACAATTTATTATAAATTTATTTTATTTAAATAAATACAAATTGGTATGTTTTACGAGAGCATTTTATCTTGCCAGGGAACTACACCTTCATTGTTACAAAATCCATTATATTCGTCTCGTGCTTGCTTCGCGATATTCAGCGATTTTTTTTTTTTGATATTTTCCAATGATGTCAACGGGAATATTTTCTGAAATGGTGGGTGTATTATTCCTGATTCGTTATCTTCACGAAACATGAATGATGGAAATAAATAGAAACAGGATTTTCTCAAATAATTGTATAGATAGCAACAAGTCAAAACAATTTTCCTTACTTTAATAGGATCAAAAGGTAATGCTCTTCGAAATACTCCAAAACTAGTAGCTAGTATACCGAAAACACTTTCAACCATCGTTCTAACTGGCGATATTCGATAGTAGTGTATTCTTTTTTCTTTGGTTAATCCAGTTTGGATATATGGTTTCAGTAAATTTTGAGACATTGGAAAAGCATCATCCCCAACAAAAAAGGGTGCTTTCGGGAAGTTCCAGGCAACAATGCGGGTAGTGGGATATTTAAAGCAATATTTTTTGATTGCTTTCCAAATTTTGTATTCTGCAGCACACCTCCATCTGATAAATGATCATTAGTCCCAACATCAACCATAATAAACTCGTCGTTTATATTAGCAACCATCATCAACACAGTACTGAATGTTTTTTGTAGTTATAATAGTATGATCCAGAACCAGGAGAATTTTTTATTTCCACGTGTATCCACTGGCTCTCAAAATCCTTAACAACTTGTTCTCATACCGTAGCTGTTTGAGGTAAATGAAAATGAAATAAAAACATTTTTTTTTCATGAGGATAGTACAACTGTTGGAGCGGACCAAGCACTATCTACAACCTCTATGCAGTTCCGAAGACCAAACATAAGAATTTAAATAGAAAACTTGATGATTACCTTATACAATTGGCAGCTTAGCGTCTTAGAGAAAAACCGGATGAATATAAAAACTGGGCTTTGTCTTGTGATGCAGATTGAAAGAAAAAGGAACTAATGCAACAAATATTTGCTAAAAATGCTATTGCTGCCATTATCATGAAAGGAAAATTAGCCCCTCGTCTGTTCAAACGCCATATTCTGGCATGTCAAATAATATGCGCATCTGTCAAACGCTGTGCTGAGGACGTGTGCTCCAGAGTTGGCACCGGTTTTAACACGTCTTTTCCGGTACTCCTACTCTATAGGCGTAGTCCCAAAATCATGGAAGACGGCTTTCGTCCACCCGATACCTAAAAAAGGCGACCGCTCAGACCTGTCCAACTACCGGACTATCGCCATCACCTCCTTGTTCTCCAAAACATTGGAGTCCATAGTCAACTGCCAGCTCATGAAGTACCTTGAAGATCACCAGCTGATTAGTGATCGCTAATACGGTTTTCGTCGTAGTCGATCAGCTGGTGATCTT